AGTGAATTACCAACCAAAATAAAATAGAACACTCAAGTCTATATCTAATACAGTAAGAAAACTGAATACAGATAGAACCTCACCCTCAGAGTTCAGTAAGCTTCCTTTTACAGACTAGTCTCCTTCTAGTCTGGGTCCAGCAATCACTCACACTCCTGTGGTTACTGTCCTTTGTTCCAATTTCTTTCAGGTATCCTTAGCCTCTCTACCCCCATCTCTTGAGCCAGCTGAAGACAAAATGGAGGGGTTTCCTAGGGGTTTAAATAGACGGTCTCTTGTGAGTGGATACTTCTCCCTTCCCCTGTGTAGAATTCCAGCTACAGGATGGATTTTTGGAGTCGCATGTCCATGCATGACTCAGAACTTACAGGTAGCAGTCATGGTTCACATCCTCATGTCTTTGACGTCCTTGAACGTCCTCATGTAGGCTTCTTATGTGGATTGGAGCCTTCCAAGATCTGTTGTCCGTTAAGTGCTCAATCAAGACGCACTTAACTTGCAACTTCCTTTCTAAAGAAGCTGACCAAAAGCCTTACTAAAGCTGTTTAAAATCAAACAAGTACACAGCCAATATTCATAACTTCAAATACAAAAATGATACATGCATACAAATAGGATGAATAGACTCAGTAGATCATAACCTTTACTGAGATGTTACATGGCATATGTAGCATAAAACATATTCCAGTTATGTCATATATACATAAGCTTATTTCTGTAAAGCCTTATAGGGTGCACCATCACAGGTGGAAAGGGTTCTTCCTGCACCAGTCTCATGGATCCCTTCAGACTTCTTTGCTGTTGGTGCAAATGGAGGCTGGACTCAGCTATACATGGGCTACTGGGTTAAGTTGCCAGGAACTCCCAGTCAATAGAGAGCAAATATGATGGACTTGGAAGACTCTCTTGTGTCACACACAAGTGCAAGTTCCTTCAGCCAACCAACCACAGAAAGGAGATCAGCTCAGATGTCATTATGTGCACAGTGCAGCCTGCATGGGGACTGTCAATTACCAAAGCAGTGTGTACACCCGCAGCATCTGGGAGGCTGATTTCCCACTGCCCATGCTTGTGTGGCCTGCTGCTAGGAATAGCACCCGCCCTTAAAATAGCACAGGCTTCTGAGGACACATTCCAGCTCCCCTGCTCTTAGATCTCTGAATGGAATGGTATCAATTTCAGGCGGTCAGCAAGCTCAAATATCCAGAGTAGGAAGAGAGACTATCCTGCGTGGAATTCTGGCCTTCAGAGCTCGCATCCTTAACTCACCCTCTGCCTGTTAGCATGTTCATCAAGTCGTGTCCCCACATCCTGTATTAGTCTCTGCAGATCTCCCCAGGTCTGTAAGGCCTTCCATTAAGGCCATTCTCTTTTGATGAAAGGATGTTTTAAAGCAAATTTAAAAGCTTCCCAGAGCTATTGGCTAATCACCAGTAGTCTAATCTCACCAACACGATAAACTGTCTTATTGGCCAAAGGCATCTTATTGTTCAAGCAGCTTCATTTGCTACAGGTTTTCAAGCCTCACTGGAATATTCACAATGCCAGACAGTGCCAAAGGATGCTCCTAGATATCCGGTTTCCATGCTGCACTTTGTTCTAGGGTCACAGAGCTAGGCATGCATCCCTAATTACCTGTTTTCTGAAACCTGCCACTGTTAGCATACCAATCTCTCTTACAGAAGAGGAGGATGGGGTTAACATTCCCTGCTTCCCCCACCCTTCTCCAAATTCATGACCTTCACTGTCCCAAGACCACTGGCTTCACCCTCTTGTCCCCTGGAGGAAAAAACCAACCTCCTCCTCCTCCTCCCCACCCCCAAATTTTTCCTGGAGCATTTAGGCAAGGGTTACTTCAGGCAGTTCAGCCCAGCCATTCCTTGGCATGAGATTCTCAACACTGGGCCAATGAAAGCTTCAAGCTACCCCTTGGGCCACCAGGGTATGGTATTACTTGGCACCTGCCTTCATCATTTCTGACTTGTATAATATATTACATATGCTGTTAACACTCCTGCAAAGATACCAAAAACCCTATTATGACTTCACACCTCTGCAGACTAAGAGCATGGCCACAGGAGGTAGAAACTGGTACAGTAGCTAGAAAGTGACCAAAGTGCTGGCAAGGACACATGCTGCGCTGTCAGTCTGGCACTGGCATGGTTCAAAAGCCTGGCTGCAAATTACAAATATTGTCTGTTTGAGTATCACCAGGCCCATCTCTCTCTCTCTCTCTCACACACACACACACCCCCTCCCCCCTTGACCTATGTGGCTCTGAATTGCCCTACAACTCTTCAGCAGCTAGCTTGACAGAGAAGTCAAAAGTTTAGCCTTGCCTCAGCGAAGGCTTCAGACAGCCAAGCCTACAGGCTCAAGGCAGATGAACATGAACTGACCTGCTCTAGCAGTCAGCTGCAGTTCAGGTGTCCTTTGTGCCGCACAGTCACATGGCAAGTTTAAACCCCTGCAAACTCCTATAGAATTGGTGGATCCCTTGGGTTTTGCTGAAGGCTTTTGTCTTAAGATAAAGATGGACCAAGGAAGAACGGCAGCTAGTTCTTGACACCTGCTCCGCTCTTTGCTCCTGGCACCTGCCCCTAGCTCAGGAGAACCTTTCTGATAAACTAGCATTAAGAATATTTACAGAGCAAGATGAAATTCAATAAATACAAGTGCAAAGTACTACACTCAGGAAGGAAAAATCCAAAGCATACATACAAATGGCAAATAACTAGGTAGATGGGAGTACTGCTGAAGAGAACCTGGGATCACAGATTGAATGAGAGTCAACAATGTGATGCGGTTGCCCCCCCCAAAAAAAAGTACAAGGGAAAAAAGGTAATAGCATCCTGGGGTGTCATGTAAGACACGGGAGGCACTTGTCCCGCTCTGCTCGGCCCTGGTGTGGCCTGAGCTGGAGTTCTGTCTCTAGTTCTAGGTGCCGCACTTTCAGAAGCATCTGGACAAGTTGGAGAGAGTCCGGCAAATGGCAACAAAAATAAAAGGTTTAGAAAACCTGACCTGTGAGGAAAGGTTAAAAAAACTGGGCAGGTTTAGTCTTGAGAAAAGACGACTCATGGGTGACCTCATAACAGTCTTCAAATTTGTTAAAGGCTGTTATACAGAGGAGGGTGATCAATTCTTCTCCATGGCCACTGAAGGCAGGCTAAGTAGTAATTTGGTTTAATCTGCAGCAAGGGCAATTTAGATTGGATATTAGGAAAAAAAAATTCTAACTATAAAGTAGTTGTCCCCAAATGGTGGGGCATGTCCCCTTAGGGGGGCCTGGCACGGCAAGGCCTGGGCCAGCCCCCATGGGCGGGAGGGAAGAGCCACCCAGCTCCACTCTGTCCCCAGACCGAGCCCTGGCTCCAATCCCCTCCCGCCCCTAGCCTCAGCCGTGGCCCCTGGCTGCGGCTCTGCTCCCGGTCCCAGCCCCACCTCCAGCCGTGGCTCCAGGCTGCAGTCCTGCTCCCACCCCCCAGACCTGCCCCCAGCTGTGGCTTACCCTTGGGATAAGGGTTGTGTGTGTGATGTGAAAAGTTTGGGGCTCACTGCTATGAAAGGTTAGTTGAACTGTGGACTAGGCTTCCAAGGGCGGTTGTAGAATCCCCATCGGTGGAGGTTTTTAAGAACATGTTGGGCAAACAGCTGTCAGGGATGGCCACGGTTTACTTGGTCCTACCTCAGCTTGGGGGTGGACTAGATGACCTCTTGAGGTCCTTTCCAGCCTTGCATTTCTAGGGCACTTTACTCAGAGAGGCCCAAAGGGAGTGAATTTAATTCTTCTGAATTTACCTGTCTCCAGCCAGTGCTAAAGTAGTGCAAGTATCACACAAACACTTCATTCTTTATCCCCTGTTATTGTGTTGCTGGGGCCATGCACAGCTCTGCTAAGGCACTTGAATTCTAACTTGCAGCTGTTCTGGTTCTGGCCTCTTCAGAATGCTGTTCGGTCAGGCAATACTTTTGGGACATGCCCAAAATTGGGAAGAGGGAGGAAGGAGGGTTGGAAGAGGATGGAAATTAATGTAATTGTCTTACTTCTGACCTTATAGGGTTGCACCTCTGGTCTCCAGAGGTGGAACGCCATTCCACCAACCCACAATAATCCCCTGGCTCTCAGATACCTCACATTACCACATAACGTGGAGGGGCCCCGTTAGCTAACATAATGTTCCCGTTGCGCTTTCCACCTCCCCCTTACCAATAATGGAAACTGTCCGCTCCGTGCCCTTCCCCTCCATTACTGCACAGCCAAAGCTTCCTTGGCAGAAGAGCTTGGGCTGACGGCAGAGCAGCTGGGGCTAGAGATGGAGAGGGAATGAGGACAGAGCTGTGGCTTGGGGCAGAGCAATGGGAGCTGGGGCCGGGGCTGGGGCCAGAGCTGGCCCGGGGGTGGAGCAAAGGGTGGCACTGGGGGAAGAGTGGGACTGGCCATAGCTCTCTCCCCACCCCTGGGACCTGCTGCATGCCCCCTCCCCCCCGAATGTTCCTCCGTGCCCCTCTAGAGGGTTGTGCCCCACAGTTTCGGGACCACTGATCTAGACTGTCCCTGACAGGTGTTTGTCATCCTGTTCTCAAACCTCCCACGACACAGATTCTACAACCTTCCTAGGGATTAGCTAATCCCTGCTTTAGTAAAGATTGGTGTGCAGTTGTGCAGCATGCTATACTTAACCCTCTGCATTAGCTCCTCTTTTCTGAGATGAAAGGGATTTTGTAGCTCTGTGGCCTGACAGCAGAGGTCTTTATGAATGGCCTGGTGGCTGAGGCTCAGGGCTGGTCTACACGACAAAGTTAGGTATCACTCCCCTGAGAGATGTAGTTTAGCTCATCTAAGGCCTGGTGTAGACTCGGTTGACTTAGCTAGCACATCTTGGAGAGGTGGACTTACGACAGCAACAGAAGAGCCCCTTCTGTCACTGTAGTAAGTATCTGCACAGCTGCAGCACTTCCAGTGTAGGCATAGCCTTATTCTTCATTGCGACTCCTAGGCTTACGAGAAGCGCTTTCCCACGTGCCCAGAGATCCCTGTCTTCCTGGGCAGCGAGATCCTTCAGGAATCCAAGAGCGATGATGGAGCTGTTCATATCGTCGAACGGAGCTGCAAACTGAATGTGGATGCTCCACGGCTGCTGAAGAAGGTGAGAGCCTAATGTACACAGCGTCTCCAGGCTTCCTTGTGTCTGCTGCTTTGGGCAGTAGAGTCTTGAGCCATGGTGACCGCTCTGCTCCCACATCTAACGTCCTGTATGGCTTTGTTCTTCCTTCCTTCTCAGATCGCTGGGGTAGAGTACGTCTTTTTCATACAGAAAAACACCGTGAACTGGAAGGAGCGAACGCTCCTCATTGAGGCTCACAACGAGACTTTTGCAAATCGTGTTGTCGTCCTTGAGACGTGTAGCTACTCGGTAAGTGCCTCTCTTCCCAAGCAGCCTTCCTCTTCCTCTTGACCATGCGGTGAGCCAGAGCAGCTGAGCGACCGTAGCAGAAGCTTTCTGCCTTGGGATAACAGCCAGGTGAGGGCGCTCGGAGGAGTGTGGATGCTGGGCCATAATCCAATGTGACTTGGAAGCCCGTTGACCTGGATTGGGGGCTCCATTTTGATGGGCACCTGAAGGCACTCCCAGAGGTGGGACTGCTCAGCAGCTAGCTCATCTGGGGGGAAGGAGTTGCCTTGCCTTGGCTGGAGCATTAGGTTCTGGGGTGAGATCAGAGAGCAAGGTGGGGCTCTAGATTTGATGTAAAGTATTCCCCTAGTTCTCCGGGCTTAGAATTAGAGTTAAGACGGATGTCTGGCCAGTGTTGGGGTTTGGCCTTGGCATGATTCTAGCAGTTTAGGGAGGAGGCCCAAGGACTTATTGTGATGGGAAGTTGAGGTGGTGGGTAGGGGACGTAGTTGGGGCAGCTGAATTCTCATACTGCTCCCAAATGAGCGCAGTTCCTGGCTTCCCTGTCATGCTCTTTCTGTCCCTGGGACTTCCAGATTGCTCCTGTGTCGATCATTTAGATAAAGTTCTTATGCTGCTTATCTGTGGCCTGAGAAGATGTCACCCAGCGTGTTCTACTTGTCGAGTGTTTGTACCATATCGGTGCATCTGGGCCACATGGGGTTCAATCACCATTAAAAATAGCTTCATCTATTTCTGGAAGCAATCTGATACCTCACCATGTTTCCTAAACAAAAGTCCAGATCATGTTACTTACCTGCCCTGTCAGCACTTGTACGTTAGTGCAGCTTCTTGAAATCAAAGACGCTCGCAATGGCTGTTGCTCCTAGTGAAGCAAATAACTTAACCCCCTGCCCAAAAACATCTGTGTGGTGTGGTGCTCATGGAAATGATAATGGATCAAGTTTTTCCATTGCTGTCACCGTGGGTCTGTCTCAGCTGCTGACTGTGAGATGCTGCTCGGTGAACCCAGCAGTGATGCTGTGTATATGCATGTCTTTGCCAGTGCCAGATTTCACGCTACTGGGATTTCTCTGACTGCAGTGTGTTGAAAACCTTCCTTCCAGAGTGGAACTGCTGGGTTTCCGAGATGTGTCTGCTTTCCAGAAGGGAGGAACTAGTTGTCTGCATCCTTGAGATGCTCCTGCTGTCTACTTTTGCCCATTTCCTCTTAATTGTGGGAGTGTACAGGAAACAGGTTTTTCTCATGTTTCAACCCCAGCTGTGTTCCTTTGAGAAATAAGATCTTTCTCCGGCTGCTGCCTATAATCCCTATAGGGACATTGTGTTCTTGACTGATCTCTCTGTGCGCGTGAGGTCAGTTTTTTTTGTACTCTGTTGCGGGGCTAAAACAGTCACACATAAGGGGAAAGGCAGACCCCTCTATTCCTTGTCAAGGAAAGAGCTATGTGGGTGTTTTCCTTGAGGAAGAGAATGTAGGGAGACTGCCTAGAGAGGAAGGATGTTCTGTGGTTAAGGCAGTGGCTGAGACTCAGGAGACCTGGATTTAGTTCCTCGCTCTGCCACCGACTTCCTGGGCAACTTGGGGTGAGTCATTTAATTTCTGGGTACCTGTTTCCCATCTGTTCAACAGGGGAGGATAATTCCCCCCCTTCCTTCACTCTGTCTTATCTATTTAGCTTGTGAACTCTTTGGGGCAGTGGCAATGACTGTCAGGTGCTTCCTCCTGGTTATCGGGCCTAGCAGTTGGAACAGAGGACAGGGCTGGGCTGAGGGTAATGCTAGAACAGAGATCAGAGTCCAGGGACAAGCCAAGTCAGTACGGTAGCTGGAGTCCAGGTGTGGGCCAAAGTTTGAAGCTGGGTAGTCGGAGTCCGAGGGTCAGGAGGCAAGGGCTGAAGTGAGGTTGGAGTAGCACAAGGACAAGACCTGGAACTGGGCTCAGGCAAGGCTGGGGCAGGAACAGGCTCAAGAGCAGGCTGGAGAGTCCGTTACTCTGCAAGGCAGCAGGAGGGTTCCTGGCCAGGCAGTACTGTTGCACAGATTGATCAGCAGCTCTGGCATGCTTGGGGAAATAGATGACCCCAGGCTCAAATGACACAGTCTGCTCAGGGACAAGCTGCTGCCGCACGCCTGAAGGCTGAGTCACGGCAGGCTCTGATGGAGGGCAGCTGAGTGAGCAGCCCTGGTTTGACTGCGAGTTTGCTTCACAGTGACCATCTCTTGCTATTTGCATGTACTGCATCTAGCACCATGGCACTATTGTAATGCTCTTTCTACTCCTGCCATTACCATTTGGAGAGCCAAGCAGCAAAAGTGGGTTTAGTCTTGATTTCCTTGGGTGGGGAGAATCCCATCCTAACAGTGGTTGTGCTCCGGATGTGTCCTAACGCTTCTGTCAGACTGAGCATCGCAGTCCTGATTAATCAGATCACTAAGTGCTGACAGACCTACATCCTGTAGGGAGCCCCCTGGTCTGCAGCCTGGGAGAGTGAACAGCCCCGTTACTGCCTGGCGTGAAGCCTGGCAGCCTTGGTCTGCTCTGCGCTGTGTGACCCTGGGCCTGTCTCTGTCTGAGTTTAGGTTCACCCCGAGAATGAAGAGTGGACGTGCTTTGAACAGTCTGCGTCTCTTGACATCAAGTCGTTCTTTGGCTTTGAAAGCACAGTGGAGAAAATTGCCATGAAGCAGTACACCTCCAACATCAAGCGGGTGAGAGCTGGCTTTCCCCTAGCTCCGAGAAGTGCAGCTCAGGTGTCCACAGCCCATTAGAAGTGGGGAAGTAAAATGGCTGCTCGGGTCCAAGGTTGCCATGGCAGTGAGCGTGAAGGGTCATGAGATGCAATCATAGAATCATAGAAGGTTAGGGTTGGAAGGGACCTCAGGAGGTCATCTAGTCCAACCCCCTGCTCAAAGCAGGACCAATCCCCAATTTTTGTCCCAGATCCCTAAATGGCCCCCTCAAGGATTGATCTCACAATCCTGGGTTTAGCAGGCCAATGCTCAAACCACTGAGCTATCCCTCCCCCCCTTATGTTCTCTAATGGGTAGATCAAGGGAGTGGGAATTGGCAGGAGACCTAGGTTCTGTGACCAACTCTCCCCTGTGCCGTTGCCATGAATAAGTCCCTTAGCCTCACTGTTGCCTGAGTTTCGTCCTCAGTAAAAAGAGAGAACGCAACTCTAAGGAGCAGCTGGGCCCTGCCATGGGTTTCAGTCTCTGTAGTAGAGAGTGGAGGTTAAGCCACTATCCAACAAGCAAAACAACTTGTTTGTTTGGATATCTCCATGAGAGGTTGGACGGGAATTATTCTGGGTGAGAGCTGCATTCCATGCGCAGTCCAGGCTCCCTGGAGTCACTCCCTGACCAGTGTCCCACACAGGAAGGACAAGCCCTGGGTACCTGTTGATTTCATGCCACTGAAGACTCCACTCTGATGGGATCTGGGCAGTGCAATGGTGTTAGTTTGACGGCCTTTTCCCTGGGTTTAGGGTCGCAGGGGAGCAGTGCATCGAACAGGTGAGATGTGTAGGGCTGACTGACCCTGTTTTCTCCCCTCCCCTGAACCCAAACCTGTTCTTACCCCAGGCATTTTCCTGAGTAACAGCACGTTTTCTCTTCTCTAGAGAGAGCCTTTCACACTCCAAGTAAAATTCCCCACACGGGCCGTTCCGCTCCCTTCTGCCTTGCTCAAAAGCTGCTGCATGAGGACATTAAACACGGGAATGTGCTCCTTCTTCCCTGGGCTAGGGAAACTCCCCCTTCCTGCTTATGGCTGGGACGCTGATCTCTCGGAGTACTAGAAATCCTTTCACTTGGCGTTGCTCTCTCTAATGCAAGCCTTCACTTCCAGGGCAAGGAGGTGATCGAGCATTACCTGAAGGAGCTGATCTCCCAGGGCATCACCTTCATCCCCCGATGGACACCTCCACCAGTGAGCAGGCAGAAGGAAAAGAGGGCCCTGGCTGTGGGACACAACCCTGGTATTGTGCCAGCGGAGTCCTGTGTGCATGGAACTAGCAAAGAGCAGCCAGGCAGCTCCTGCCCTGCTGCAGAGACGGCTAGCCCTGACGGTATGCTATCCCCAGGCAGTGGTGGAGGTTGGCAGTGTAGACGTTCTGGTTCTCACATTGGGACATTTCTGCCACTTAACTCTTGAAGCTCCTGCAGCCTGATGTAAGAAAAGGCTCCAGCCCAATGTGAAAGTGTCTGCCTGAACAGAAGGAAGTGAGAGGTCATTGTATCATTGCAGTGATACCTGCAACATTGGGAGCTTTAACCCAAGATTCCTGGCCCTTGTGATTGGGGTATGTCTCTAGGAGCTTCAAGAACATCTGCTAAAGCAAGAAACTGAGATCTGGGGCTCCTGGGTTCTGTTCCTGCCTGGCCTTGGTCATGTAGCTTCTCTATACCTTAGTTTACCAATCTGTAAAATGGTTTGAATACTTAGCCACTGGCTAAGGAAGCTGCAAGGCACAATTAATATTAGTAAAGTGCCTTGAGATGAAAGGTGCTCTAGAAGTGGAGAACTCCACTTTGCAGCCAGGTGAGGAGTGAGGGGTGGGGGGGAGATTATTGGCTTCCCTTTCTTCACGTATCTCTGCTCTTGAACTGCCAGCTCTATACGACTCTCCCAGCTGCCCTCTTTCCATTCCGTTGTGGGTCTGCTGCCCAGCTTGGCTGGATCTGTGGCATAGGTGCTGACTTTTAGTTTTCTCCAGGGGTGCTCAACACTCACTCTGCCCCTTCCCCGAGCCCCCGATCAGCTGTTTGGCAGGGGCGCCCCGATCAGCTGTAGCTGGTGGTGCTGAGCACCCACTGTTTTTTTCCATGGGTGCTCCAGCCTATAATCTGCGGTGAGGGTGAATTTAGGGAGGCTAATTTCTCCAGTGGGACTGAGGGGCAGCAGCGTGTTCTCTAGGCACATGATCCCCGTTGTGTGATACTGTAGCCCATTGTATCCAGGGTCAGAAATATTCTGCCTGATGTGGAGCTGGCCCCGAAGGGTCCCCTCTGCTCTCCTGTCCCTTCTGTCTCCACATGCTTCCAGCACAGCTGCTGGCCTGTGCCACGACTCTTTTGGTACCACGTTCCCTGTACACACGCGCCTCCAGCTGCACATCTGCCTGGAACTCCACACGCTGGCAGATGTGATCCCCTTGTCCTTTGTCTCGATGCCCTGGAGGGACCCTGCGGTGCAGTAGCCACAAAGGACAATCCTGATGGCGAAGAGGAGCTACTAAAGTTATTCAGGTTTCAGAGTAGCAGCCGTGTTAGTCTGTATTCACAAAAAGAAAAGGAGTACTCGTGGCACCTTAGAGACAAACAAATTTATTTGAGCATAAGCTTTCGTGAGTGAGGTGTGTAGTGTGTTTAAAAAAAAAAAAAAAAAAAAAAGCGAATACTCACCAGCAACCACATACCACACAACAGAACCACTAACCCAGGAACCTATCCTTGCAACAAAGCCCGTTGCCAACTGTGCCCACATATCTATTCAGGGGACACCATCACAGGGGCTAATCACATCAGCCACACTATCAGAGGCTCGTTCACCTGCACATCCACCAATGTGATATATGCCATCATGTGCCAGCAATGCCCCTCTGCCATGTACATTGGTCAAACTGGACAGTCTGTACGCAAAAGAATGAATGGACACAAATCAGATGTCAAGAATTATAACATTCATAAACCAGTCGGAGAACACTTCAATCTCTCTGGTCACGCAATTACAGACCTAAAAGTTGTAATTCTTCAACAAAAAAACTTCAAAATTCAGCAGACTCCAACGAGAGACTGCTGAATTGGAATTCATTTGCAAATTTGATACAATTAACTTAGGCTTGAATAGAGACTGGGAGTGGCTAAGTCATTATGCAAGGTAACCTATTTCCCCTTGTTTTCCTAACATCCCCCCCCCCCCCCCCGCCGTTCTTGTTAAACCCTGGATTTGTGTTGGAAATGGCCCACCTTGATTATCATACACATTGTAAGGAGAGTGATCACTTTACATAAGCTATTACCAGCAGGAGAGTGGGGTGGGGGGAGAGAAAACCTTTTGTAGTGATAAACACCCATTTTTTCATGATTTGTGTGTATAAAAACAAACATCTTCTATATTTTCCACAGTATGCATCCGATGAAGTGAGCTGTAACTCACGAAAGCTTATGCTCAAATCAATTGGTTAGTCTCTAAGGTGCCACAAGTACTCCTTTTCTTTTTGCGAATACAGACTAACACGGCTGTTACTCTGAAACCTTTTTTTTAAAGTTATTCACTCTTTCCCCCTGGTGGCTGTCTGTGGAATAGCATTTCAGCAGCTTCCAGACTGGCTGCCGTCCCCTCTTGCTGTAGGAATATAGTGGAGTGGGATTTTCCAAAGAGCCCAAGTTAGGTAGGTGTCCAGAAACCACTGAAATCCAAGGAGGTGGGTGCCTAACTCCCTGAATTTCCTTTGAAAACCCAAGTCAGAGTCCAGGGCAGCTTTGGGATGGAGGCAGGAATTAGAGGGCATATTGGCACCATTGAGTAGCTGACCCTGCTGTGATGCCGTACACATCCAGAATTACTGACTCAATCCCCATGCCCTAATTGTAATCAACATGTCTCCCGTGGACCCCTTGGGATGCTTTCCAGCCCTTCCCAGACAAAAGCCAGGCAGACTGTTGATGAAGGAGGCTAAGAGTGTTCGACAATTCCCAGTGGAAATTGTGTGTGTGGAAATAACTGTACAATTCCCCAGATCCTCCACTCCTACCAGGACTTCTCCCCTGAGCTGCTGTTTTCTTCCCTCTCCAGCTGACAAACTGGACGCTGATTACATTGAGCGGTACCTGGGGCAGCTGACTCCAATGCAGGAAAGCTGCCTGATCCGACTCCGTCAGTGGCTGCAGGAAACGCACAAAGGCAAGGTAGGCAGCTAGAGGCAGAACTCCCTGCCTGGAGACAAGAGGGGAGCTCTCCAAAGAACTGATAGCCTCTCGGAGGCAGCTTTGCTTAGCAGCTTGATCATGTAACTGGGATCCAGGAACCTCTGGGTTCTAACCCCAGCTCTGCTGCTGATTGGCAGTGTGGTCTAGGGCAAATGACTGCTCTGTGCCTCGGTTTCCCCATATAAAAATGGGATTGTGAATAACTCACATGTGCTGAGGCTTGCTTGATAGTGGAGTGCTATGTTAAGACAGCTGTTTCCTGATAAGCTTTAAGTGAGTCATATCGCTGCTGCCAGCGGCAGTACAGAATACCATGCCATCCTTTCTTCTCCGCTGCTACTGCTGGTGGCACTGCCTTCAGAGCTGGGTGCCCGGGCAGCAGCTGCTGCTCTCCCACCTCCCAGTTGCAGGCACTGCCATCACCAGCAGCAGTGGAGAAGTAAGGGTGAGAATACTGTGACCTCCTAATAGGCTTCTGACCCTCTTAAGAACATAAGAACCGCCATACTGGGTCAGACCAAAGGTCTGTCTAGCCCAAGATCCTGTATTCCGACAGTGGCCAATGCCAGGTGTCCCAGGTGAGTGTTTTGGGTCAGGGCCCCCAGTTTGAGAAAGACGGTGGATTAAATTTTTTGTGGGTGGTCACGGCATAAATAGCAAATTTCATGGATGTGTAACATAGCTATGAAATTTGCTATTTATGCCATGACCAACCCATGAAAAATGTGTGATTTCTCTGCAGTTTAAGTCAACCCCTTGTAGTGGTTATCAAGTGGTCTTGCTTCCCTTCAAAGTCTAGCTCGCTGCATCTGTGGGGTAGGGTGAGAGAACCTGCTAGTCACGCTGTGTAGATCAGTTGAAAACCTACACACATCCCAAGGCTTTTGGCAGACATTGCTCACTAGAGTGGTGGGTGATTATGCCTAGCTTTTATCTAGTCCTTTTCCAGGTGGGCTTCATAAGCTAACTTGCCTAGGGGCTGCCTTAATTTTGGAAGAATTTTGTTTAAATCTATTTTTTATGAAAATTCTGTATTTCAAACTTGATGCAGAAACTTCCATATTGAGGAGCAGGGTGTGTCTGTCTGAACTCATGCAAATAGATGGCACTCAAACCAAAGAGTAACTACTTGAACTGTCCAGAGACTCCAGTGTGGGGATCAGAGTAGAGTGATTTGCAAGTGCAGCCAGAGTTGATCACAGCAGTTGGGTGCTGATCCCAGGTTGCGTTTGGCTCCCACAGGCCATACTGGAGATTGTGAGACAAACGTGTCCCTGCCACTCCTCCATTGATTAGAGCACTGTTACACTGGGGAAGAATTCAGCCTCGTGTTTAGTGGGACGCTACCAATGGTTGTGGGTTGCAAGGCTGGGGAGGGTGCACGGTTTGTTTTCTCCCTTTCCAGACATGCCCTGATGAGCGAAGCTTGGCTTTTCTGGATGGAGATGCCCAGCCAGGGCTGGGCTGGGCTGTGCAGTGTCAAACGCTTGTGTGGAGGAATTGTGCCTGACTGCTTGACGTTAGCAGTGCTAAGTCCCTGGTCGGGTCTAACGCACAAACCCAAAAAACCTTGTGCCAGCAGAACCAATGTCCAGGCTCAGCACTATGAAATGCAAGCGTGGGAGGGACACGTTCAAATCTTATTACTCCGGTTTTGGGTCCCTCCCCTCCATCCTTACTGGGCATTTAGGGGGCTAGAAAATAGTGTGCTGTGTTCCTGGGGAGCAGGGAGGCAGGGGAGCTTCGTTACTAATTGCAGCCCTTGATCTGGCTCCTTAGGAGTGGGACTGCGCTGTGAACAGAGCTGCCCGTTCTGTCCCGCCTCGCCCACAGCCAATAGTCCCATCAGGCCTACAGGATAGGTTATGAGAGTGGGTGGGGATAGGCTCCAACCCGCTCTCCCTCTCATTCTCTTACCCTGATTAACTAACACTCTCAGTTCATGACCAGAGCAGGGGAGAGGGGGAGCGTGCAGTAGTAAGAAGAGCTGTGGTGGTTAGGTGGGATTGAACGAGGCATCTGAGACAATGACTTCCCACTCCATTGGTAAGCACTTCTGAGAGGCAGGGAGACTTGGCAAAGAGATTTCTCCTGACCTTCCAAAAGAAAACTGAGTTCACGTGCAGTGCTACAGTTGGCTTCTGCGCATGCCGCTTTCCAGCTGGGAGCGGGGCTGGATAACTGCTTTGGCTTGACAAGCCTTCTGCAGTCCATCCAGCAAAACCACATGGACTCCTGTATCTTATGTGCCAGCTGTCAGGCATCCTGCCCGAGCCACCCTTAGCTGAGAGTGTGACGGGGAGCCACATGTGTGATGGGTCAGGACCCAGGTTTTGAGCTGGAAAGCACAGTGTAAATGCCTGTTTGTTTGTTTTTTCTTGTAGTCAGAGGCTGGGGAATGGAAGCCGGAAAAGGTAAAATCTGGAGCATGTGAGCAATGTGAAAGAGTTGCCCCTAGGGCTGTGTGTGCGTGTGTGTGTGCTCTTCTTGGCAGCTGTTTGTTGTGCTGGATCCATTAATAGGGTGAAATTGACTCTGCCTTAGTGACAGCTGTAGGTAGCGTTATGCACTTCTGGTAGGTTTTGTGTATTCTCCATGCCCTTTGTAAGCAGAATGGATGGTACTGGCAATTCAGACCTCATCCCAAACCCCATTTATTCCTTCCTTGTCTGCTTTGTAGAAGCATAAACAGCTTATCAGGCGGGTACTGAGTCAAACGCTTGTCTCAGACCATTTGAACTCGCTTCGAGGAGGCTGATCTCTTACTGTGACTTTTTTTTTTAATTTTTTTTAGTTCCAGGGTAAATGTCCCTGTCACCTCTCCAGAGGCCCATTGCAGATCTCCGTTCCTGGGAGCTTGCCCCGTTGGATGTTTGTTTTTAAATGAAACACTCCCATTGTCCCGTTGCAGTGTCCATTCTCTGTTCCTTTCACAGCAGTAGTCAAGTGCTTTGCTGAATAAAGTCTTCCATAGCTGGAAGGCCAGCCAGAGAGAACTGGAGACTGTAAATGATGTAAAAACTGCAGATTCCTACACAGAGCTGTAAGCAATGGTCTGTGTGTTGCTGTTAAAGGAGCAGGTATTGGTACGCCAATATGAGAACCACAGGAGCATCTTCATTTGCCTGCCTATGGAAATTACTGTCTCTGGAATTGTCTCAGCCATCTAGCCAAATGCCATCCCTCGTGTCAGAAATCCATTCCGCTAACTTAGCCTTTGAACTTGATTCTCTGTATAACAATACCACCTCATCCTCTCAAAGCTCTGCCTCTGACCCGAATGTAAGTGCTCACTTGTCCCTGTGCATTGCTGTATTCAGAACTGTACCGCTGCCCTTACCTAGGCTTTCTGGTTATTGCTATGACAGACTTTCCTCTGGCGTAGTAAGTAAGCTCTTGCTTTAACTATGTAGTAAGTAGGCACTTGATTTATCTATGTAATCAGCCATGAAGAGTTCGTTGTAACCTGGGGTCAACATGACACTTGAAAATGGCAAAACTTTATGTAATAGCCACAATGTTGGATTCTCTTGACAGGGACTCAGCGGGCTCTCCTGGATGTTATGTTTGATTATTTCTGTAAGGATTTGAACTAGCGTTGTCAATTAATCACAGTTAACTCACATGATTAACTAAAAAAAGTCATCATGATTAATCACAGTTTTAATCACACTGCTAAGCAATAGAGTACCAATTGAAATGTATTAAATATTTTTGGATGTTTTTCTATATTTTCAAATACATTGATTTCAATTACAACACAGTATACAAAGTGTACAGTGCTCACTTTATATTATTTTTATTACAAATATTTGCACTGTAAAAATGATAAATAAAAGAAATAGTATTTTTCAATTCACCTCATACAAGTACTGTAATGCAATCTCCTTATCCTGAAAGTGCAACTTACAAATGTAGATTTTTTTCTTACATAACTGCACTCAAAAACAAAACAATCTAAAACTTTAGAGCCTACAAGTCCACTCAGTCCTACTTCTTTTCCAGCCAATCGTTCAGACAAACAAGTTTGTTTACATTTATGGGAGATAATATTGCCTGCTGCTTATTTACAATGTCATCATAAAGTGAGAACAGGCGTTCGCATGGAACTTTTGTAACTGGCATTGCAAGGTATTTATGTGCCAGATATGCTAAACATTCATACGTCCCTTCATGCTTCGGCCTCCATTCCAGAGGACATGCTTCCATGCTAATGATGCTTATTTCAAAAAATGAGTTATTTAAATTTGTGATTGAACTCCTTGGGGGAGAACTGTATGTCTCCGGCTCTGTTTTACCCATAGTCTGCCATATATTTCATATTACAGTAGACTCGGCTGATGACTCAGCAAGTATAGTTCATTTTAAGAACACTTTTGCTGTAGATTTGACAAAACGCAAAGAAGGTACCAATGTGAGATTTCTACAGATAGCTACATCACTCTACCCAAGGTTATAGACTCTGAAGTACCTTTCAAAATCTGACAGGGACAAGGTGTGGAGCATGCTTTCAGAAGTCTTTAAAAGAGCAACACTCTGATGCAGAAACTACAGAACCTGAACCACCAAAAAACAAAATCAACCTTCTGCTGGTGGCATCTTACTCAAAACTAACATGCATCGGTCCGCACTGCTTTGGATCATTATCGAGCAGAACCCATCATCAGCCTAGATGCATATCCTCTGGAATGGTGGTTGAAACATGAAGGGACATGAATCTTTAGTGCATCTGGCATGTAAATACCTTGCAACGCCGACTACAACAGTGCCATGCGAGCTCCTGTTCTCACTTTCAGGTGACATTGTAAACAAAAAGTGGGCAGCATTAGTGCCTACAAAAGTAAGCAAACTTGTTTGTCTGAGTGACTGGCTGAACAAGAAATAGGACTGAGTGGACTTGTAGGCGCTAAAGTTTAACATTTTTATTTTTGAATGCGGGTATTTTTTGTACATAATTATATATTTGTAAGTTCAACTTTCATGATCAAGAGATTGCACTACAGTACTTGTATTAGGTGAATTGAAAAATACTATTTTGTTTTTTGCAGTGCAAATATTTGTAATAAAAATATAAAGTGAGCACTGTACACTTTGTATTCTGTGTTGTAATTAAAATAAATATATTTGGAAATGTAGAAAACATCAAAATATTTAAATAAATGGTATTCTATTATTGTTTAATGGTGCTATTAATAGTGATTAACTTTTTAAAATCACTTGACAGCCCTAGTTTGAACCAACGTAAGTAGCCCTGTGGATAGCGTCTTCCTCTCAGCACTGAAGATGTGTGTTCAAACCCTGCTATAAAAAAATCAGCTGTTTCTATCTGAGTGTGATGCGGACAAGTTAAGAGTTTATTAAATACATTTTGAGCTCTGACATGGAAACATGTCCACCCTCCCCCCCCCCCCCCAGCCAACATGTACAAATGTGAGGTTCACAAAGGGTTCGTTAGAAACAATTAACCCCAGGTGTGCATCTAAGCTATCTCTGAACTTATCTGCTCTCAACCCCTTTCTCTCCACTGAATCTGTTCTTAGGGCTTGTCTACATGGTGCAGTAGTCCACAGTAGAGGGGTATAAATTCTAATTTGCACCAGCATGTTGCACGCTAACTGGCCCCCATGGACTCTGTTAAAAGTTTCCTAGTGCGCGTTGTGTAGGACTGTTTGAAACGGGACTGCACTCGGGAACTTTTAGAGTAGGGGTTCTCAAACTGGGGGTCAGGAGGTTATTACGTTGGGGGGGGGGAGTCGCGAGCTGTCAACCTCCATCCCAACCCCGCTTTGCCTTCAGCATTTATAATGGTGTTAAATATGTAAAAAAGTGTTTTTAATTTATAAGGAGAGGGTTGCACTCAAAGGCTTGCTATGTGAAAGGGGTCACCAGTAAAAAAGTTTGAGAACCACTGTTGTAGAGCATGCCAGCAGGGTCCACACAGGCCAGCTAGTACACAGCTTATGAGTGCATGTTAGAATTGACACCTTTTGTAGTGCAGACTAATGCACTATGTAGACAAGCCCTAAGTGTGTCTATTGCAGCTTCATATCAGTACGTGTAACTGAGATTGCTTCAGGCCTGAAATTCCTGGCTGCTTTGCTTCCAGCCCTTCTTTCTATTTTCATCCACGTCAGTAAGCTGATAAAGGAGCTTTTCGCCCTGAATACACGTATTATTTGTGTTACAGCCATGTGCAGGTGGCCCATCTGGGACCATGGCCCTATTTCACTAAACCCCATAGCAATGCATAGGAAGAGACTGTCCCCGCTTTGAAGAGTTTGCAGTCTGAATTAAGATGAAATGCAACACACAAGCTTAACCTGAGGCAATGGGGCGCAGAGGAGATTGGAAGACGTAGTGGCAGATTAGCTGTATGCGCAACTTGCAATTTCAAGTCAAATTTAGCTTTGTTTGGGATTTATTAATGATGATTTCTGCAGGCCAACTGCCTACCCGTGAGTAGCTGGCAATTTTATCTTGGGCTTCAAGGTAGAAGTGGATCTCCAGGGATTTGAAGGAAGTCAGAAAGTACTCGCTATCCTGGAGTATGCCCCAGGCAGAAGGGGCAGCGAGAGCCAAAGCACAGAAGTGTTGGTGGGAGAAGTGGACGAACATTTGAGGCCAGTGTGATTAGCTGAAAGCTTGTGGGGGGCCATGAGATCAGATTTGAGAGGAGATAATTGGGGGGGCTACATTGTAATGTCATGAAGGGTAGCTGTCATGGAGAAAGGAGAGGGACTGACATACTTGGACAAGGCCAGTGTGGAGGTTCAGCAGACGGGCCAGATGATAAGAGCCCGCACAAGAGCGTGAGTTGTAGTGTTCCAGCTGAAGGGAGCCTTTGGAGGGTGTCTGGTCTATTTACAGACAGCCCAGCTGTGACCAGTCTCCACAGGGCTAGCACAGGAGCCTTCCTGTAGGCTAGTGTGTTGAACAAAGATGCTTTTCATCCTTTGCATGGTGCTGTGTGGCTTTCCTGTCTCTCTGGGGAAGGAACATTGCAGCTTTGTTACTTTCAGGCAGGATTTGTGGGTGGCTTGTCTCGGCTGGTGGGGGAATGTTTTGGGAGACTCTGGCTAGCAGAGTTCACTGCAATTCCCAGCTGTCTATTCCATTCACTGGCTGGCAGTGTTTCTAGAGTGAATATGCATGGCATATATAGGCCCAGGTAGGTGGGAGGGCCCTATGTCTGGAGGGGGGCTGGGTTTGTCATTTCCCTACAGTCCTGGATTAGCTGGAGCAGACCAAATGGACATAGTAGGAGGAAAGAAAATTAAACTTCAATCCTTCCCCATGTCTGGGAGGAGCTAGAAGCTTCTTTGCATCTTGTTGGTGTTTGTGGGAGGGGAGCGCTGGCAGCAGTGCAGTCCAAGCTCTTTGGAACGAGTGTGTCTCCTCTGTCTCCCAGATCCCCAAAGATGAGCATATCCTTCGATTCCTGAGGGCTCGTGACTTCAACATCGACAAGGCTCGCGAGATGCTTTGCCAGTCGCTGACCTGGCGCAAGCAGTACCAGGTGGATTACATCCTGCAGACCTGGAGACCCCCATCCCTGCTGGAGGAGTACTACACTGGAGGGTGGCATTATCAGGATAAAGGTAGGATGGTGTGTCTGCACCACCAGTGCAGTCACCTGTGGCTCTGTGGAGCTAGCTGTGCCGGCAGGTTACACCATAGCATGGTGAAGAATCCTAGCATGGGTACGTTTCCTAATACGTATGAATGTCCCGATTGTGTCAAAGCAATCTCTTTGTTTTTATATGTGCAGATGAGGCTGAATCTGGCTGGCCTAAAGCTCCCCTTGATAGGAATATGCTTTGGGCACCATTTTTTTTTTCTTTGAATTTTTAAGAAAATGTCCTGCTTATAGGTAAGGAACTCTGTTTACAGTGGAAGCTTCTCCTACCTAAGTGCCCCATCCCTTCCCGGAAGGGTCTGCCCCCTAAGGAGATGAGTAGGTCAGACTCCAATCGATTCAACTGACAGCCTCTCTGAGCTGCTGGCAAGGCTGTTGTGATATCATCACCCTTCCCACTGAAGACTGGAATAAGACCACAATGCTTTTCACACAGCCCACTAGATAGCTAACCATCTTAGGCCAATGCTGACCTGTGGCATGGATAAGAGAGAGTCTATAGCTCAAACCCCCCAGTACGCCCTCTCTGGGCTATTCCATCTCCCAGGCTGTCAAGGTTCCTCCCCCACTCTGAACTCTAGGGTACAGATGTGGGGACCTGCATGAAAAAACCCCCTAAGCTTATCTTTACCAGCTTAGGTCAAAACTTCCCCAAGGTACAAAATATTACACCCGTTATCCTTGGAATGGCCGCTACCACCACCAAACTAATACTGGTTACTGGGGAAGAGCTGTTTGGACGCGTCTTTCCCCCCAAAATACTTCCCCAAAACCTTGCACCCCACTTCCTGGACAAGGTTTGTCAAGGTTCCTCCCCCACTCTGAACTCTAGGGTACAGATGTGGGGACCTGCATGAAAAAACCCCCTAAGCTTATCTTTACCAGCTTAGGTCAAAACTTCCCCAAGGTACAAAATATTACACCCGTTATCCTTGGAATGGCCGCTACCACCACCAAACTAATACTGGTTACTGGGGAAGAGCTGTTTGGACGCGTCTTTCCCCCCAAAATACTTCCCCAAAACCTTGCACCCCACTTCCTGGACAAGGTTTGGTAAAAAGCCTCACCAATTTGCCTAGGTGACTACAGACCCAGACCCTTGGATCTTAAGAACAATGAACAATCCTCCCAACACTTGCACCCCCCCCCCCTCTCCTGGGAAATGTTGGATAAAAAGCCTCACCAATTTGCATAGGTGACCACAGACCCAAACCCTTGGATCTGAGAACAATGAAAAAGCATTCAGTTTTTTAAAAGAAGACTTTTAATAAAAAAATAGCAGTAAATAGAAATAAAGAAATCCCCCCTGTAAAATCAGGATGGTAGATATCTTACAGGGTAATTAGATTCAAAACATAGAGAACCCCTCTAGGCAAAACCTTAAGTTACAAAAAAAATACACAGACAGAAATAGTTATTCTATTCAGCACAATTCTTTTCTCAGCCATTTAAAGAAATCATAATCTAACACATACCTAGCTAGATTACTTACTAAAAGTTCTAAGACTCCATTCCTGTTCTGTCCCTGGCAAGAGCAGCACACAGACAGACCCAAACCCTTTGTTCCTCTCCCTCCTCCCAGCTTTTGAAAGTATCTTGTCTCCTCATTGGTCATTTTGGTCAGGTGCCAGCGAGGTTACCTTCAGCTTCTTAACCCTTTACAGGTGAGAGGAGCTTTCCCCTGGCCAGGAGGGATTTCAAAGGGGTTTACCCTTCCCTTTATATTTATGACACGCCCCCCAAATCTCAGCTAGGGTGAAACACTGGCTGGGATTTCTTCCTGGAGCTCTAGGAAAACAGAGTTAATAAGACACATGCATCTCTAAATATACTACCAAGTACATAAAGACTAACAATATTTTCCACATCTCAAGGACGATTTTAACCAGTTGATTCTGGGAAACTTTCACGGGAGAGTGCATCAGCCACTTTGTTAGAAGCTCCTGAGATGTGTTGGATGTCGAAATCAAAATCTTGGAGAGCTAAACTCCACCGAAGAAGTTTTTTGTTAGTTTCTTTGACGGTGTGAAGCCACTTCAGTGCAACATGGTCGGTTTGCAGGTGGAAACGCCGTCCCCAAACATATGGGCGTAGCTTTTCCAGAGCATAGACAATGGCATAACATTCTTTTTCAGTGACTGACCAGTTGCTTTCCCTCTCAGACAGTTTTTTGCTGAGAAACACTACAGGGTGGAATTCTTGATCAGGTCCTTTCTGCATTAAAACTGCTCCCACACCACGCTCGGATGCATCTGTGGTTACTAGGAATGGTTTGTCAAAGTCTGGGGCCCTTAGTACAGGGTCAGACATGAGTGTCGCTTTAAGCTTGTTAAAGGCCTTCTGACACTTTCCGGTCCACTGAACAGCATTTGGCTGTCAGTGGGGCAGCGATTTGGCTGTAGTGCGGTACAAATCGTCTGTAATAACCGGCCAAGCCTAAGAAGGATTGAACCTGTTTCTTTGACTTTGGGACAGGCCACTTTTGGATAGCATCCACTTTGGCCTGTAGGGGGCTGATAGTTCCTTGACCCACCTGATGTCCAAGGTAAGTCACTCTGTTTAGGCCTATTTGACACTTCTTAGCCTTAACAGTTAGTCCTGCCTCCCTTATGCGCTCAAGGACTTTTTGTAGATGTTCCAGGTGGTCTGCCCAGGAATCCGAAAATATGGCCACATCGTCAAGGTAGGCGACTGCATATTCTCCTAATCCCGCTAGGAGACCATCTACAAGTCTTTGGAAAGTGGCGGGTGCATTTCGCAGCCCGAAAGGGAGTACATTAAATTCATACAGCCCGAGATGTGTGATGAAGGCTGACCTTTCCTTGGCAGATTCATCTAGCGGTACCTGCCAGTACCCCTTGGTTAAGTCCAAGGTAGAGATGAACTGGGCCCGTCCCAGTTTCTCTAATAGTTCATCTGTGCGTGGCATTGGATAGTTGTCTGGGCGAGTTACAGCATTTAGCTTACGGTAGTCCACGCAAAAACGTATTTCCCCATCTGGTTTGGGAACTAGAACCACTGGAGATGCCCATGCACTTTCAGAGGGGCGGATTACCCCCATCTGTAACATATCCTGGATCTCCCGTTCTATAGCAGTTTTAGCTTGAGGAGACACCCGGTAAGGTTGGACCCTAATTGGGTGAGCATTACCTGTGTCAATGGAGTGGTATGCCCGTTCAGTCAGTTCTGGGGTGGCTGAGAACGTTGGCGCGTAGCTAGTGCACAGCTCCTGGATCTGCTGTCGCTGCATACGCCCAAGGGTCATGGAGAGGTTCACCTCTTCCACACCACCAGCACATTTCCCTTCGTAGTAAACACCTTCAGGCCACTCAGCGTCGTCTCCTCCCTGGGCTGTAAACTGACAAACCTTTAATTCTCTGGAATAAAAGGGCTTTAGAGAATTAATATGGTACACCTTAGGCTTTCGGTTGGAGGTGGGGAATGCTATGAGATAATTAACAGCTCCCAGGCGCTCCTGGACCATGAATGGCCCTTCCCACGATGCTTCCATTTTATGGGCCTGGAGCGCCTTTAAGACCATGACCTGGTCTCCTACTTTGAAGGAACGCTCTCTGGCATGCTTATCATACCAGGCTTTTTGCTCTTTTTGAGCATCCTGTAAGTTTTCTCTAGCAAGGGCTAAAGAGGTTCGGAGGGTGTTTTGTAGGTTGGTTACGAAGTCCAGAATGTTAGTTCCTGGAGAAGGTGTAAATCCCTCCCATTGCTGCTTCACCAACTGCAATGGCCCCTTAACCTCACGGCCATATACAAGTTCAAATGGGGAAAACCCTAAACTGGGATGTGGTACAGCTCTGTAGGCAAAGAGCAACTGCTGCAACACTAGGTCCCAATCACTGGAGTGCTCATTTACAAATTTACGTATCATGGCCCCCAAAGTTCCATTAAACTTCTCCACCATGCCATTTGTTTGATGGTGGTAAGGAGTGGCAATCAAGTGATTTACCCCATGAGCTTCCCAAAGGTTTTTCATAGTTCCTGCCAGGAAATTAGTCCCTGCATCTGTGAGGATGTCGGAGGGCCAACCTACCCTGGCAAAAATGTCTGCTAGTGCCTGGCACACACTTTTAGCCCTGGTGTTGCTTAGAGCTACTGCTTCTGGCCATCGGGTGGCAAAATCCATGAAAGTCAGTATGTACTGCTTTCCTCTTGGTGTCTTTTTCGGAAAAGGACCCAGAATATCCACAGCTACTCGCTGAAATGGAACTTCAATGATGGGGAGGGGTTGTAGAGGGGCTTTGACCTGGTCTTGGGGTTTTCCCACTCTTTGGCACACCTCACAAGACTGGACATAGGTAGAAACATCCTTGCCCATTCCCTCCCAGTGGAATGACCCCCCCAAACGGTCTTTGGTCCTGTTCACCCCAGCATGGCCACTAGGGTGATCATGGGCTAAGCTCAAGAGCTTGGCCCGGTATTTAGTTGGAACTACCAACTGTCTCTGAGGATGCCAGTCTTCCTGGTGTCCACCAGAAAGAGTTTCCTTGTATAAAAGTCCTCTTTCTACAACAAACCTGGATTGATTAGAAGAGCTGAGAGGCGGTGGGTTGCTCCGTGCCGCCGTCCAAGCTCTCTGGAGGCTTTCATCTGCTTCCTGTTCGGTCTGGAACTGTTCCCTTGATGCTGGAGACATCAGTTCCTCATGGGATTGTGGACCTAGGCTTGGTCCCTCTGGAAGCGATATAGGGGATGGAGCTGTTTCTGTTGACTGTGAACCGCTCTCCGCTGGTGCACTATGTTGGGATTCAGGCTCCGGCTGAGCCTCTTGGGTCGGGTTATCGGCTGCTGCCAGTTCAGGTTCGGTGGGGCCCTCTGGTGTTGAGGTTGCAAGTACTGGATTCAGTGCTGACACGGGGTCTGGTGTTGGTTGTTCGGCTGGTTCCGGTTCTGGGACTGGTTCCGTCTGGGTCTCTGGGACTGGATCCACTACTGCTGTTGCAGACATTGGCCTGGGGTCCAGGTCCATCACCTCTGACTGGGTCCTGATAGAAGTTTCCGGAACAGAGCTAGGCCTCACGGCTTGTTTAGCCTGGCTGCGGGTGACCATTCCCACCCTCTTGGCCTGCTTCACATGATTGGCCAAGTCTTCCCCCAACAGCATGGGGATGGGATAATCATCATAGACTGCAAAAGTCCACATTCCTGACCAGCCCTTGTACTGGACAGGCAACTTGGCTGTAGGCAAATTGAAAGAGTTGGACTTGAAGGGTTGAATCGTCACTTGGATCTCTGGGTTGATTAAATTGAGGTCCACTAAGGAAGCATGGATAGCTGACACTTGTGCTCCGGTGTCCCTCCACGCGGTGACCTTCTTCCCGCCCACACTCACAGTTTCCCTCCGCTCCAAGGGTATCTGGGAGGTATCTGGGCCTGTGGACCTCTGGTGTGATTCCGGTGCAATGAACTGTAATCTGTTGCGGTTCTTGGGGCAGTTGGCCTTTACATGCCCCAGCTCGTTACATTTAAAACATCGTCCAGCTGACGGGTCACTGGGGCGAGGAGGGCTGCTGGAGAACGGGGTGGTGGGACGATAAGGGGTCTGGAGGGCTCTTTGGGAGGTAGGTGGGGCTTTGGGCGGCCCCCAGTAATAGGGTGTGGTCTGGGGTGGTCCCTTCTGGTCTCCGCTCCAACTGCGACCAGTTTTCTTCTTCTCTGCCACCTCCACCCATCTGGCTCCAATCTCTCCTGCCTCAATTACAGTTTTGGGTTTCCCATCTAGGATGTATCTTTCTATTTCCTCAGGAACACCCTCTAAGAATTGTTCCATTTGCATTAGGAAGGGCAAATTTACTGGAGATTCAACACCTTGCTCCTGATATCCAGGCATCCCAATGTTTCACAATGTGGTAGGCATGTCGGGTAAATGACATGTCTGGTTTCCACCTTAGGGCTCTGAACCTCCGACGAGACTGCTCGGGTGTTATCCCCATTCTGACTCTCGCCTTGGATTTAAACAGTTCATACTTGTTCATGTGTTCTTTAGGCATTTCAGCTGCCACCTCAGCTAAGGGTCCACTGAGCTGCGGCCTCAGCTCTACCATGTATTGGTCAGCAGAGATGTTGTACCCAAGGCAGGCCCTTTCGAAGTTTTCTAAGAAGGCCTCAGTATCATCACCTGCCTTGTAGGTGGGGAACTTTCTGGGATGGGAAGTGGTACCTGGAGAAGGATTGCTAGGGTTTGTTGGTATATTCTGCTGGGCCTTTATCCTCTCCATCTCCTCCACATGCTTCCTCTCTTTTTCCCTCTCCTCCTCCACATGCTTCCTTGCCTCCATTTCTTGTTCCTTCTTCAGCTGCATGAGTTCTATCTGTCTTTCATGTTCCCTTTGTCTTTCCTCAGCCTGAAATTTGGCTAATTCGAGCTGTAGTCGAGCCGCGGATTTTGCCATTCTAACCTCTCTGTTTTTACTAACTTTACACCCGAGGTTTAGAAATAAACAAACAAAACTTGGCTGTAAAATTCTGCTGTGCTGGAATAGAATACCTATTCTCTGATAGTGATTGTCAGCCTACAGAAAAGACAATTCCCTTGTCTCTGCTCTGGGCCCAAATTAAAGCAAAAAACCTCCAACTGCTTGGAAACCTGCTTACCCAGCCCAAAGAAAAAGCAAATGGGTAGAACACACACCCCCTATTTACTTTTAGGAAGAAAAGAAAAAAAAACCTCTGGGATGGAAGACTTCCCTGCAGGAGTTAAGTACCCTGCCTCCAGGCAAAAAAAACCTGCAATTCACAAGATAATCCCCTTTTGTCTCTGCTTGGCCACAAAGCAGAGAGAAACCAAGCTGCTTTCAGTTTCAAAGCTGCTTTCTGGACTTTCTTTCCAAAGAAAAAAAAATTTCCTTTTTAAAATCTGTATTTCTAGTTCAAAAAATCTCAACTGGATCTCAAATGATTTCAGGTTAATCCCACCACTGTGCCACCATGTCAAGGTTCCTCCCCCACTCTGAACTCTAGGGTACAGATGTGGGGACCTGCATGAAAAAACCCCCTAAGCTTATCTTTACCAGCTTAGGTCAAAACTTCCCCAAGGTACAAAATATTACACCCGTTATCCTTGGAATGGCCGCTACCACCACCAAACTAATACTGGTTACTGGGGAAGAGCTGTTTGGACGCGTCTTTCCCCCCAAAATACTTCCCCAAAACCTTGCACCCCACTTCCTGGACAAGGTTTGGTAAAAAGCCTCACCAATTTGCCTAGGTGACTACAGACCCAGACCCTTGGATCTTAAGAACAATGAACAATCCTCCCAACACTTGCACCCCCCCTCTCCTGGGAAATGTTGGATAAAAAGCCTCACCAATTTGCATAGGTGACCACAGACCCAAACCCTTGGATCTGAGAACAATGAAAAAGCATTCAGTTTTTTAAAAGAAGACTTTTAATAAAAAAATAGCAGTAAATAGAAATAAAGAAATCCCCCCTGTAAAATCAGGATGGTAGATATCTTACAGGGTAATTAGATTCAAAACATAGAGAACCCCTCTAGGCAAAACCTTAAGTTACAAAAAAAATACACAGACAGAAATAGTTATTCTATTCAGCACAATTCTTTTCTCAGCCATTTAAAGAAATCATAATCTAACACATACCTAGCTAGATTACTTACTAAAAGTTCTAAGACTCCATTCCTGTTCTGTCCCTGGCAAGAGCAGCACACAGACAGACCCAAACCCTTTGTTCCTCTCCCTCCTCCCAGCTTTTGAAAGTATCTTGTCTCCTCATTGGTCATTTTGGTCAGGTGCCAGCGAGGTTACCTTCAGCTTCTTAACCCTTTACAGGTGAGAGGAGCTTTCCCCTGGCCAGGAGGGATTTCAAAGGGGTTTACCCTTCCCTTTATATTTATGACACAGGCACCTGGCCTATTTATCACTGACAGGAAGCTGAGGTTAGATTGGCCATCTGAATGCTACTTTTTCTTCAGCAGAGTTTCCAGGTTCTTTACAGGATCTCCTGTTTGGGGGCTTAGAACCAGTGTTTTCCCTGTAACGTCTTTGTTCTTTGCTTTGAAGATGGCCGCCCCCTCTACATCCTTCGCCTCGGTCAGATGGACACAAAAGGTTTGGTGAAGGCCCTGGGAGAAGAGTCGCTCCTGCGACACGTAAGGGATGCTTTTATTACCTATATAACTTCTGCTGCTACAATTTCTCTGAGAGGTGTAGATGAAGTGCAGATCACAGCAGCAGGCCCGTGTGGGAAGAAGGGATCCACTTGACTAGCAGATGAAGGAATTGGTTCTAATACCACATATCAGTTGGCCTTGTGTATCTCTCTCCCATCAACTGTTGATGGCGATAGGGTTCAGCATGCAGCATATAGGCACTATATGGCCTGCTGATTGGCTGCATCTCATTGTCTTCAACAGTTTGGCCATCACAGAACATGGTTGATACAGTGGCTATTAGGGCTTATCTAAATGAGCACTAAGGTGCATCTGCAGTGGATTCCCAGCTGATGTAGATGTATCTATCCAGGTCCACTGAAGCCAGCTTGCCAGAAATAGCAATGTAGCCAGGATAGCAAGGGCCATGGCTTGGATTAGCTGCTTTAATACATACCGGGGCTCCAGGCAGGTACAGACTAGGGTAGCTAGCTTGAGCCACTGCCCATGCTATCCTGGCTACACTGCTGTTTTTAGCACGCTAGCTCAAGCACAGAGCCCAACCTTGAGGCCTACTGGCACAGTTCCTACCACAGCACTTGCTTACTTTGCCATCACCTTGAACAAAACTTAGAGCAGCTAGTCTCCTCTCCAGCATCCGAGCTCCTCTCAGTTCAGGAGAGAGAGGGGAGCATGGGAGGGGAATCAGTTCTGACTCCCTGTTTTGGAACGCCTCCTCAGCCCCCATGCTACCAGGCAGCTCTATACTACTCCTCTTGTGTAGAGTCCTTAGTGGCATGCATAGCAGTGTAGCTCCTCCCAACCCCCAACATACTCACCAGCCCAGAGTGAGGCAAGACCCAGCCGTGGCGCAAATGTACGAGGAGGAAGTTCTCTGATGCCAGGGCAGTTCTCTGCAGGTGATTTGCAGCTGGATTGTGGTCCTTGCATCACCCGAATGATGCAAAGGGCCCATAGCTGGGCTTGAGAATCTGGTCCACAGGGTCTTGGGGCCTTCAACACACAGGCCTTGTAAACTCAGTAGAACTGATTTTTCAGCAGAGAGAACTTTTCCAAAAATCTCGTTTCTTGTTCCGTATACACGTAACATGGCTGGTTTGTCCCTTTTATCATAATAGGCTGTTCTGGCTCCAGCTCCCTGTTCATGTGATTTCCTCAGTGTTCCCCCATGGTGGAGTAGGCGATGTGGGCTCTTCTTTGGGTGTGTTGCCAAAGTAACCTCCAGTCTGTGCGCACTCTCTCTCTCTCTCTCCCCCTCTCTCTCATTTCAGGTTTTGTCAATTAACGAGGAGGGACAAAAGAGGTGTGAGGAAAACACCAGCCTGTTTGGCCGTCCCATCACGTTAGTATGCGTTTAACTGTCTTAAGGCCCTGGCATGGTGGAAGTAACATTTCAATGAAAGTTTTTAAGATATCATGGATTTTACTGAAATAAGTAACTGGAATTCTTAGGCCCAAGCCACAGACAGGAGTATTTTGTTTGTATCAATCCCTACTCCAGCCAAGGCAGGGGTGTCTGTGTATTGGGCATAGCCTAGATGAACTGTACAACTCGATATGAAGGAAAACAAGGCTATTTGTCCCCAATCACATTGTCCAGCTTTTCTGCCACATTCCAGGTGGATCTTCTACCTGATGCCTTAGTGATCCCAATCCAGCTGCTTGAAGCCTGTAGTTCTGGCTCCGTTTGCACAGCATCAAGTTTTTAACTAATGCAAAATAACTCTTTAGTGCCATGACAGTAGTGCCCAGATTGTGTCTTGGTGGATTCAAAAGGGCCTAAGCTCCCTTAACCACCTTGAAATGGACAACCTGTGTCGTCCTCCCTGGGAGGAGGAATCCATTCCGGGCCTACAGAGCCAGTGCACTGAAAATACTTTTGGACTCTGGCCACCTGCTGCTTGTTTGGGGCTGGGGGGGGTAGTTGTTGCTCCACTGGTACTGCCAGTCACCCCCTAGGTTTAATAGAAAGTGTACGATAAACAAGTTTTGTGCAACTCTTATTTGTGCTGGCTGGGCAGGTGCTGTGTTGGTGAGAAATGGGGATACTGCAGCGCAGTGGTGACCTCTCCCATTCTTCTGTGCATTTCAGATCCTGGACATGCCTGGTGGATTTGGAAGGGTTGAACATGCGTCACCTGTGGCGGCCTGGAGTTAAGGCTCTCCTTCGGATAATCGAGGTTGTGGAGGACAATTACCCTGAGACACTAGGGAGGTTACTGATCGTGCGAGCACCACGGGTTTTCCCTGTGCTGTGGACTCTGGTAAGTGAAATCCTTACTGTACAGACAGTGAGAACTGGGCCAGTGCCACAAGTGGCTAAAATCTCCAGTGCTGTAGATGTTGGAGGGTTATGGAGGAAAAAGCTCTTGGGCAACCTGTCGTTGGACTGAGGAGAGCTCGACACTGCTCATTGGTGGAGCTCTGGAATTTAGCCATAGTGCTGCCACGGAGCAATCTATGTCGTCTTCACATCACTTTTAGCTTCTGTCATCCTGCCAGCGTTGATTAGAGTTTGGGATCTACACTCTGAGCTCTCATATGGCACTGTGCTGCATTACCACCGAGCGACAGCCTAGCTCTTGGGACTCTCTCTCATACCAATGTGCAAGAGTCATGCCAATAAAAAGCTCCAGTTGGCACAGGTTTGAATGGCAAAGATAAACAGCTTTTAAATCCCACTTGAAAGCGCACTGGAGAATAAAGTAATGAATGTGACCCTGGCTAGGGCCTGCTGGATGTATAGGCCACAGAACAGAACTGACAAAGCCCAATGCAGTTCTGGAATAGTGTTGAGCATGGGGACGTGACTTCTAGTTTTATCTAATGTGAGGGATGGCGGGGGGAACCCTGTGAGAGAATGGAAATATTTCTATGTATAACCTATTCTGGTTCAGGGCCATCAACTTCCCTGTGGACTCCAGTCCACAGTGCTAGGAGTGTTTCTGGAATGTGGTGCAACATTCTTTTCAAATTACGGTCCATGCCATAAGAACATCATCTTCTGTCCACCTGTATTTCAGGTTAGTCCTTTCATCAATGAAAACACCAGGCAGAAGTTCCTCATCTACAGCGGCAATAACTACCAGGGTCCTGGAGGGCTTGTAGACTATCTGGACAAAGACGTGATTCCAGATTTCCTTGGAGGAGAATGTGTGGTGAGTTTGCTGTAAGGTGAATCTGAGATATGCTGTCTTCCTGGGGGCCTAGTCCTTCCACTCCTTCCCTTGGAATAGTTACCTTTCTAGACTGGTAGTGCCCAAAGGCCCACACTTGGACTGGGGACCCATCGTGCTGGGTGCTGAGATCATCCTTCCCTCACAGCTCACCTTCGGAGAGGTGGCGTTTTGCTGAGGAAGCCTTTATGAGGGAGATGCATTTAGATGTTCTTACCTTTCTACTCTTATGACTGCCTTGACCTTGAATGTTGTGGAAAAACAGAACTTGGTCCTTGGACTTTGAGAGTTCTTCCTCGAGTCAGTGTGGTTTTCCTTGGGTTATTCATGTCTGTCTTCATCTTGCTTAAAAATACCTGAAATGATGGGTTGAGCCACAAGCTACAGATTGGTGATCATGTCCCAGTCCCATGACATAGCACCAAAAATATGACTCCACTGCTTCAGTTGTCAAATGGCATCCAGATTAGCACAGGTCTAAAAATATCTGGTCTGGCTCCTTTAGTGCCTATTGGATTAGGGAGATTATTAAAGGGACACACCCAGACTGAAAAAAATAAACGAACACATCGTGCATATAAGGCTCTTGATTTGATTTTTTGGGGGGTTTATGCATAAATCACACATTATAGGTAATGTGCCTTTAGTCTGAGCTTTAAAAAATTAGAACTGTTTTCATATTTTTGATATCTGCCATTGCAGCCACTTTCTTTGAATCTTGTTAACATCATGTAATATTGTGGAGGCACTTGGGTTCTTATTGTAGGTTGCCCAGAAACTTCTCAATAAATTATATTAAATTGAAATAATGAAAAAGACCTTAAATTTACTTTTTCATCATTTATGCTGCTCACCATGTCACACCCCATTCAGACAGTGAAAATACAATGAGTTTTACTTATTTCTCATCAATTTTGCTTTCAGGCTGTCTGGTGCTAGCACCATGGTGCAATGGCTGGATTCCAGATTCTGTCTGGAGCATTTAAAATTAAGCTAGGGCTTTTCACTGACACATCATGGTAAAATTTCAAATAATGTTGTAGAACTGTCTCTTAAAGAAAAGAACACTCTAAATCGGGGTCCCAACCTAACTGATGGGATGTGTCCCTCACAAAGAGCAGGGGCCAGATCCTACTTGTGTAAAGCCAATGGAGCTATGGCATTTTACTCCAGCTGAGGATCTGATGTTTCATAATAGGTAACTGGGTATATTGGGGGTGTCTAGATATTACCATAAATGTTAGTTTAGAAGTCCCAGTACAGATGTCTCTCTCTCTCTCTCTCTCTCTCTCTCTCTCTGGTTCTTGCAGTGCAATGTCCCTGAGGGTGGACTCGTCCCCAAGTCACTTTATCAAACAGATGAAGAACCGGAGAACTCTGATCACATCCGACTATGGACAGAAACCATCTACCACTCTGCAAATGTTCTTAAAGGGGCTCCTCACGAGGTACAGACCAACCATGTGCTGTTCTGGGGAAGGCAGGGAGGTCATTCCAAGGGGCTGTGCTGTAGATTTGTTCTTCTGAAGGCTAGGATAGCGCTGTGAAGGGATTCCAGCATGTAAGTGCTGGAGGTGTTCTGGCAGCACAGTGCTCTGCAGGGGATGGCTGAGATAAAACTGCCAGCATTTCAGAGGTGTGTGGAAGTTAAGAACAGTAATTTGGGGGTCAGGAAGCAGTTTCTCTAGTCTCTGGTGTAACTTGTCCCTGTACACACACACTAGCACCTTCCTGCTTTTTCTGGAGAAATAAAGCCTCCATCGGCTTCCCCCCAATATCCTTGTGTCCATTATTTATCATGCCTCTGATCTTGTGAGAGAAGAGTACATGAGCTGGGAATATTCAAGTGTAATCAAAAAGGACAAAGTTGGGGAGAGAAATCCTTTGATCTGAGAGTGATGCACCCATTTCTAACCATGGATGATAGCTCGTTCTGACTCAGCCTGTTCGATTTCCCCGTGCAACAGCCAGTTGGAACCTCACAATTAGCCGTTCTAAAGCAGTCCACAGCTGAGCCCCAGAAACCTTTGCTTCGGTGCCAGTTGTGCTCAATGGGGGTACCATGGGAACAGGCACGAAACAGGAACTCCTCACTTAACGTTGTAGTTATGTTCCTGAAAAATGTGACTTTTTAAGCGAAACGATGTGAAGCGAATCCAATTTCCCCATAAGAATTAATGTAAATGTGGGGGGTAGGTTCCAGGGAATTTTTTTTCACCAGACAAATATATATTTTTTAAACAAACAATTTAATACTGTACATAGCAATGATGATTGTGAAGCTTGGTTCAGGTGGTCAAGTCAGAGGGTGGGATATTTCCCAGGGAATGCCTTACTGCTAAATGATGAACTAGCACTCTGCTGTACCCTCAAGGGTTAACACATTTGTTGTTAATGTAGCCTCCCACTGTACAAGGCAGCACAAATGGAGGGAGGGGAGACAGCATGGCAGACGGAGATCCACACCCTGTGTGTGGGAGAGAGAGGTGCATTGTCCCTTTAAGTACGCTGACACCACACTCTAAGTACATTGCCTTTAAAAGGATCAGGAAGTTGAGACAGCAGCTGCGGCCAGCTCTCCCCCCAGCTCTCTCCATCCTGAGCCCTGTTGTGTCTCCCCACTGCTCTATATGGAGAAGGCGTAAGCGAGGAACAGGAGTAGAGGGGAGGGGGACACCTTGACATTAGTCCCCTTCTTCCCCCCTCCCCTGCACAGCAAGCTGGAGGCTTCCAGGAGCAGCTCCAAGGAAGAGGGGAGGAGCAGCACATAGCAGTGGGGAGGGACAGCTGAACTGCCGGCAACTGGTAGCCTGCTGGGCAGCTGCTGCACAGGGAACTTAGGGGAGCGGGGAGCTGACGGGGCGAGGGCTGCTGGTCCACCCTGGTTCCAAGCCCCCACCAGCTAGCTCCAGCAGACTGCTCTTCCTGCAAGCAGTGGACAGAGCATTGCGCAACTTTAAACGAGCACGTTCTCTAATTGATCAGCAGCAAAACATCGTTAACCGGGATGACTTTAAGTGAGGAGTTACTGTACTTTGTAAGGCACTGCCGATGCAGGAGAAGGTTGTGGTGAAAGTGGCCAAGCAGATCCACGGCAGTGAAATCTGCAGGCAGGAACTGGGATCAGCTCATGAGCCCCTGGGGAGCTGAGAACTGCAGCAGTAATGGATCTTAAGACTGCAGGAGCTGGGCAGATTTGTGTGTGAGGGGAAGGTGGGAGGATGTTGGCTCTCACCTGAAGACCAAGCCCATAAAACCTGCTTGTGTTGCTGCTTGTTTAGATCGTTGTGGAAATCCTGGAGGGTGAGTCTGTGATCACGTGGGACTTTGACATCCTGAAGGGAGACGTGGTGTTCTGTCTCTTTCACTCCAAGCGAGCGCCCGAGACCAGTCGCAAAGAGGCCCCTTCATCAAGTGCTTCGACTGCTGGGGACAACATGCAGCTAATCGATAAGAGCTGGGTTCTGGGGGTGGATTACAGCCGCATGGAGTCTCCGCTGGTGTGCCGGGAAGGAGAGAGCATTCAGGTTGGACATCCTGCGCCTCTTGACCGCTAAACAGCCATGGTGAACCAGTAATGTTCAGAACCTGGTAGTGGAGGGTAGATGTGACTGTTGAGTAGGTTGCACAGGGAGTGGCAGTTTTCATATTGATGTTTTTCGGCGAAACTTAAACAAATTCCAGAATCCCATGGTTAAAAATGCCCCAAACAATGGGGACTGGAAATCCTCCATTGCAAGGGAAGAGAGGCTCTTTTCATAGCTCTCTGCATAAGAACTAGACTCCCAGTCCCCCTGAGGAAGTGCATAGCATGGCAGTACCTGAGTTACACTTGTTTCCTTCAGCGCATTCTGAAATGCTCTATGCTGTGTGTCACGCTATCTGGAGTGGCTCAGGACCGGGAGTGCCAACCTCAGGGCAGACTGTCAAGGAGCAGGGCAAAAACCCCAAACTGGTTGTATGCTCTATAATTAGATTTCACCAACAAGTGTGAATGCCTACATCACTATACTAATCTTACCATAGAGTCACAGACAGTCTCCTTGGGTACTCCTGTCTATCTTGTGATAGATCTGTATTCGGGTTACTCCCAGTCCCAAAGGACCAGTCACTTACCTCAGGTCAACTGTTCTTCAGATCTCACACCAAAGACAACTCTTGTAGCCAATCCTGTAATAAACTAACTAAAAGCTTATTAACTAGGAAAAATAAATGAGTTATTTACAAGGGTAAAACAGGTAAAGATACGCACACAAATGAGGTACAGTCTTAGGTTCCAAAAAATGATAGTCGCTATTATATGCATGCTTTATAAGTCCCTTCCTGCTAACCTAAGCTCAACAGCTGGGGACTCCTTGCGTGTGTTTAGAAATTCTTGCCTCTCAGAGTTCAAGCAGCATAGGAATAACAATTTCTCTTTAACTGGCATTTTTATTCCCTTCCCCCAGCGTTCAAGCTGTGATGGAATAGGGCTTGAGCAGGAACCCTCTTCAGGGGTGTGAGGGAAGCAATCAATGAAGTCTTTTGTCCACAGTGGCTTGTTTGATGTCTAGACTTTCTTTTGTTAGGGAGAAGATAACCCCTCTTGTGGTGAACTGATATTTCACACTTGGTAATGCTTCTCCCCTGACTGTGGGGGATTTACTGTTTTATCAAACACTTTTATAGTTCTAGAGTTAACTTTTAAATATTACCATATAACATGGGACGCAGTTGTTATAAGTAGGATTAATACATGCACACGGGGAAGCCAGACTGGTTTCCAGCTATGCATTTGTCAGTGTTTAGTGAGGCCTGGGGCCTTAGCATGAGCTTGCATTTGGAAATACAACCCCCCCCTTTTTTTTTTAAAAGGGGGTGATTATTTTTTTTCAAACACTTGGCAGTCGCTTGATGGTGCTCTTTGTCCATCTCTTACAGGGATCTCATGTGACTCGTTGGCCTGGCTTTTATGTTCTGCAGTGGAAAATGCACAGCTCTTTGCCCTGCTCTGGCACCAGCCTCCCTCGAGTAGATGATGTCCTGGCCTCTTTGCAAGTTTCCAGTCACAAGTGTAAACTCATGTACTACTTTGAGGTGCTTGCATCCAAGGATTTCAGGTAGGAGCCACGCTAGGAGTTAGGCTAATGTGTGACTTGCAGTAGAGGAGCAGTCCAGCAAAGCAGGCTGTGACTCTGGAATTCCAGTCATATCTAACCTTTAAAATGTCTGTGGCACACCACATGGAAAATGGATACGAGTAGATTGGTCTTCTTCCTTAGAGAGACTTCCCTTTGTTAGCACCAGATGGAGCCCTGATGCATCCTTGTTCTTGGCAGGAAGTGAAGTTCTCCCTTTGTAAGGGCTATGACACGACTATACGTCCTCTGGAGGAGTTACTCATTGAATGTGTTGCCTTACCCCAAACGTCTTTAATAGCTGCTATAGCTTCTTGAATGGGCGTGGAGCACCGTTACTTGGAAGACCAGTGTTTAGGAGTAACTTTGTAGCACGTGCTTTCCAGACCATTGGGCAAAGTAACCAAGTGATATGTCAGGGGTTCGAAGGAGGATATTGGTCACATGACAACAGACTTGTCTGCTGAATAAGTCTGACATAGAGGAAACCTGCAGAGTATCTGTACACCCTGATGTGTTATTTTTTTCCTATTAAAACATTTCTATGGTGCCTCCCAGCAGAGAAGCTCTCAATGCTTTACAGACAACTAACCCTCAGAGCAGGATACTGGAAGAAAAAGTGTGTGCGTGGGGGTGGGGGAGAAAAGGGTGGTTGTTTTTTTAAGTTGAAGGCACCAATAGGACACAACTTGCTGAGTCAGTGGCAGAGAATAGCAAAAACCCAGAATTCCTGACTCTAACCATTCAGACTTACTTACTAGTGCTGTGGTTGTGGGGAGAAATGTGGAAGTGGCTACAACAGTAATAAATAGAACCTCAGACTGCCTCAGTGTCGGGAAATCTGGGTACCACTGCCAGACGTGTTCAGTGAGGGAGAAACTATGATCTGATGCTGGCAGCCCACGGCAAACAGACCCGTCTCAATTCAGCTTTTTTGATAGCATCCAGTGTGCCATTAACTGCTCGCTTAACTGTTTCTCTGCCCACACACTGTATATAGAGCCCCAGAGAGCTTACTATGCCCTACCCCCATGGTAACTATTATAAATGAGTCATCACCTTTGTAGAAGGGTGCTAGTATCCCTGGCTGTGACAAATTAATTCCTCTTTGTGGCACCTAGGTACCTTGAATGTCTTTACATCTGGCGAGACCACAGTGAGGATAGAGTGAAAAATCCCACTTTGCACATCACTCTGGAAATAAACTAATGGAATCTCGGACCAACTTGAGTACCAGTAAGAAGCTGTATGTGTAACAAACGTATCCATTTTCTTTCATCCCAGGGGGTCCATGTCAAGCCTGGAATCCTGCAACAGTGGCTTTTCCCAGCTCAGTGCAGCCACGACATCTTCCAACCAATCCCAGAGCAGCTCCCTCATTTCTAGATAGCGTGGTGTAGGCCTCTACTGACCTCTGAAATGTTACATCCGCGCTCTGAGGCCTCCTTCCAGGGCAGCTCTGTGGACCAACCCAAAGAGGCTGCAGTGTGGCTCAGCATCAAGGCTTTGGGGGCAGTCATTCACAAGACCACGAATAGCAGCAGTCTGGGGAACTCTTTGAAATCTATTTTCAGTAAGAGATGTGTGACTTTTCAATCTGCAAACTGGATTCTGTTGAGAGGCCTACTTACCAGTTGTGTTTTAACAGACCTGTGTTTTAGAGTGAATATCACTTTGCATGAATCTGTGTATTACTAAGGTTAAAGGGCTCTTTCCAATCAGTCCTATTTCTACATACGATAGAGGAGACGGATGTGGCCTTATCTGTAATGACCCGTAGAACTAGATTTATTCACGTGTAGCAAAATTAGTCTAGTTCTTCTGGGCGCCTGCAATACCAATGACACTCAAGGTACAGTGGGTGTTTCAGCAGCAGGGACTTGAAGCAAATTGTAAATAAATACCTTAATACAGGTCAGTACGTTTTGAGGGGGGCGGGGGGAAAGGGGAGAAACTTCCAAGGTAACCCAAACCTGAAACCTCTCCCAATCCGATCGGATGTTGCTTGGAAATAGTTTGTTTTTTTTAGTTAAAAAACACAGTATTTCCTACAGTGCGTAGGCAGAAAGCCTACCTCCAGCAAGCAAGTCCTTTCTTAAAGACACCCACTTGTCTTTATTTCCTCCTCAGGTTTATGAGCAATAAATGAGTGTCTCTCTGACCCACCCCATCATACTGGGTGGGAATCGAATCACATTATAAAGGGCTAAAAAAAGCAATATGTTCTTTCCTTAAAGGCACAAGGTTTTATGGCAGCATTATAGGAGCTGCTCCTTTAAAAACGGGCTAACATGGAGAGGAGAGAACACTCTCTCTCTCTTTTTTTCTAAAGTACGTGTGCATGAGTATTTAAACACTTAATGAAACATATTTATTCAAATTGTATCATAGCTTATTTTAAATTATTGTTTAATGTATTGATCATTTCAATGATAACTATTTATTTATTGAACTAGATCATCTTTTTTTAACCAACTGAACTGTTTTGTTTTAAAAGGGAACGCCGGATCATCTTGAATCCCACAGACCTTTAGATTTCATTTCTAGTCTCTGTGGCAGCTGGGCATCTTAGCGTTCAGGGCTGTAGCACTCAGGGCAGTGTGTCATCTCTTTTCCCAAAGCTCATGGGAGTGGCCCCACTGACTTCAACGTTACTCGCGTGAGTAAGGGTTTGCAAGAGCAGGGACCAAGCTTGTGGATGTTGTTGGCGGGGAGGGAGAGGCAATGCATTAAGAGCTGCTGAAGATATGTTCATGTACAATCTCTGCTGATTACGTCAGTGATGGACATATTGCAAAAGGAGTAAGAACCCATTTAAAAGAGTTTACGTGGCAGAAAAGAGGTAGCCGGTATTCTTTCCTCAAGTACCAGGAAGTTAAAAAACAGGTGGTCAATACTGAGCTGCTTCTCGGCAGTATTTATAACTAACAGACACCCAAGAGGTATTCCTCAATAAGGAGTTTATTTTCTCTGCCCCACCCATCCTTAACCGTTCTCACTACCTTCATTTGCTTGTTTCTAAGCACAGGGCATTGCCAGAACGGGGGGAACTAATCGATAACTGGAGCAATGTACATACGGAAGATAGTGTATAAATATGTAGGCTGGATTTTCAAAGGAACCTAAGGGAGTTAGGCATCTAACTCACATTGACTTTTAGTGGCAGTTTCGGAAGACAACAAATAGAGGCCCCTTTGAAAATCGCAGCTATCACTCGTAGCATGGAAAAGGAAAGCTCCAGTGATCAATGCGAACACCTACGTAGTAAAACCCTTACTAAATAAGAACGAACATTAGTGACTCTTCCAAGCATTTGTTAGTGCTTCGTTATCTCCATCAAGTGAACGAGACTTTTGCCTTTTCAGATAGGGGCTGCCATTTTAATGATACCTCTCAACCAAACCTTTGCAATCCCAGTTTAATGCAAAGAGGGAGTGGGAAATGGGCTTCACCATGAGAGAGCCCTGGAAATCAAGTGGGTGAGAACGAGTGTATGTGTACCGACACACACAAAGTTGCTTTAACCACAACTGACTCATTTTCTAAAAACAATTACTCAATTTACTGTATAACTTTTAAACTGTTTTGATTTCCAGCACTTTCCACCAGCAAAGCCCAAGTCCTATTCCAAGATGGCTGCTTGTTCTTAGTCTGACAGTCATGTTTTTTCACATTTACTCTGTCCCTGTGAGAATAGTTCTCCTTCATCCAGTAAAAAGCACTGAAGGTGGAATTCTCAGCTTAGAATTTGTTACGCGCGTGCACATTCTGAACTGAGATGGGGAACAAGAGCCTTAAGTGAAAGGGGTATGGGCCAGCGTGAGGGCTCACTCCTGCTCTCTTTCTAGGACTTCTTACAATGGCCAGTGTTCTTTCCCAAACATCAGTCTCCCATGCACTGAGTACCATGTGTGAGGCTGCACTGTAATTCCAGATGTGGGACAAAGTAAAACTCCTCTGAAATTTGACTTTTTTTCTAAGCTACACTAGCTCATTTCAGAAAATAAGGCATAATGCTCATTTCTTCAAAGCATGCTCTAGTGACTGGAGCACAAGGTGACTGGTGTCCTGGGTTCTATTCACAGCTCCTTGTGATCCAGAGCAAATTCTTTAGGGTAGAACAGACTGAGGTCCTGAGCGGCAAGTGGCTCTTTAACATGGCTCCTGTGGCTCTTTGCAGCACAGATACTAAAATACCATGTGATTTAATTATGAACCAGTCAGGAGGCTTTTACTATGTTAACCAATTGTAGTAGATAAAATAATACTTGGGTCAGTCATTTGGGGGGGTTATAAATACATACACTAAAATTTCCCCTGCCATACTGTTTAAAGATGGATATATAGCACTCTAGTAAATGAAACAATGAATTCACACTGTGGGTGGCTCTCTTGGGTAATGCTGATCATTAATTTGGCTCCTGAACCACTGAGGTCTGAGGATCACTGGGTGAGGACTTTCAAAAGTCCAATGATAGACCCACGTAATTTTTAGAAGTGCTGAGCACCTGTCACTCCAGTTGAAGTCAATGGAGCTCTGGCTGTGCCAAACCTCTGGAAAATCCGGCCCAGCTGTCTAAGTGGGCACCCAGAATTAAATCACTTCTGTAAATTGGGGCTTTAATCTCTTTGTTTGTTACTCCATCTGTAAAATGCACAGGCTCATTGCAAGGTTGACATTTTGTCTTTCCTCTCAATCCTTTACAAAAGTGTTATGTGACCATCTCTATAGTTTAAAAATCACATGGCCCTATTTACACCTTGACTTGTGTGTGTGTGTGTGTGTGTGTCTGCAAATATACCCCAACTTGCTGTGTACCAGATTGCATATATGGGGGCAAAACAACAGATGTAGAAAATGTGATTTCCATTGAACTCTGGATGCCAGACTAGATTTCCATTGTCATGCAGGGCAAAAGCCAGAATGTTGCAGTTGAGTTCAGGGCTTGTGGTTAAATATTTAAATGGTGTTTATTTTAAAAGGGCTTTTTTTTAAAAATTGTCCTGCATGGACCACAACCTTAGCTTTACAGAAGTGCTGAGAGGGAGTCCAAGTGGCCTTGACCTGACTGAAGCGGCACGGCTAGATTTCTTCCCAGCAGCTCCTGTACTAAGAGAACCAAAATGAGTTTTCTGGAGCACAAAAATCATACTAATAAAGCACTGTTATATTTTTTCTCTGTTAGGGATAGCCTATAAATTCCCTTTGATAGGGATCCCTTTCTCTATATTGTTTTCCTATTGTGGAAAGCGTGTGGAAACAATCTTCTATGGGATGATTTAGCTAGTGAAATTCTGATTCAGTGTCAGAGGATTAGGATACTATTTCATACATGGTTTCAATAGTCTGTTTTGCATTTACAATCCCAGAGCCCAGGGTTGGACTTCAGTTGCTGCTTAAAAGGTGGCAGTTGCACTCCCCTTGCCTACAACCTTGCAAACAAGTAAGAAGCTGATGCCCTACTCCAAAGGTCATTTTAATTGGTCAATTTAAAAACTGGTGGGTGGAAAATGGGTCAGAATTTGCAGATCCTACCTACTGAACTTGGGTGCTAAGCTGTCATGTGTTTAACGTATCTTGTAAGGCCAGTTGCATCAGCAAAGCCAGTAACCTTCTTTTGAAATGCATTTCACTTCCTCACCCTCCTCCACAATTGTACTATGAGCTATTAACGCAAAAAAAGATGAGACCCTTCTTTCCAGGTTCAGGCTGAAAGACTAGTTGAAGGACATTTGTCAGAGCCTCCTGCCTGGTGTTGGCTTCCTATTCTCCCAGCACAGACTTGAGAAAATTCTTCTAACAATCCATAAAGGATGTGCATTGTCAGCATTGACCATGAATCAGTTTGAATGGCACTGTAACACTTCCACGCTATCTGTATATAAAGACGAAATGGGCATTATTTTTTTAGGTAAATATACTATTTTCCCCACTCAACCTGCTCCTGTCTTAACTTTTTTACAAGGGTCTTGTCAGCAAAAAAACCCAACTTGTTCTGAGAATTCAGAGCATGCTACCGGACTACACAGGGTGCTTTGTGACATGTTACTGAGCAACAAATGTGAAGCTAAAGGTGCAGTTACTTATGGCAATTGGAAGTTGAAGTTACCAGCTGTAATTTTCTGCTCTCCATATTTCTGTAACTTAAGAATAAAATGAATGAACCAATAAATGTTTTTCTGAGATGACTGACTAAATATTGCAGTTGTGGTATCTGTCAGGTAATCTAAGGTATTTATAGTGTATCTATTGCTCCAGTTATCTAAATGTCCCAAGGAGTAAAGATGAACCTTACCTTATTTCACAAACCTGTCTCATCTGCTGTGTTAGCAGTTCAGTTAAAACTATTTTTTTTCTGTAGTGCCAGAGGATGATACAAGATCCCACAGCAGCACTTCCAGTTCCACAAAGATTCTCAGGGGGTAAAATTGGAAGGAGCCCCAGTGAAAAATCTGTCTGTTACAGACCATTTTCCCTCAGGGTGAGAGAGAATACTGGTTTATTAAGAGTTCAAACAGTCACTTACTAATTGAGTTTATTCAAGTGTTAAAACACCAAAAGCAAAATCAATTCTTAAATGTACAGACCGATCTGACTCTTCAAATATAGCATAAAACCTCCACAGACTCTGCTTAGGTGGAGAGTCACAGTAAAAATGATCAAAGTGCATATTCAAGATGCTTGCAGCAGCCAGTGGCACATTGGAAGCTAGTTACTTTCCTCAAGAAGAGGAAGCAAATGAACATGTTTCTGAAAAGCCCTTTTAGTCTACAAAGACTCATTGGCCTAGTAAAATCACCAACCTCCACCTGAGACGTTTACTGGCTTTGACAACTTCAAAATCTACAGAACCTCAGTCCTCTCTGTTAAGCAAGTTTCTGCACTCAGAGGGCAAATGCAATTTTTACAGCAGTGAGTGAAGCCTACAGCACCTACCATGTTGGAACATAGTTGAGAACAAAGGAGTTAGATGCTGCCCCTGGCCCAATTAGCATACGATTTAACTCCTGTGTTCCACCCCTATGTAGCCTGTGTGCGCTGTTGCCTTGAAGCTTTTCCGTCTAGGTGAGTTATTCTTCGTGTCCTGGGGGCAGCACAGGACCAGGGCCAGAGAGTGAGTCCCCAGCTAAACTCACCTTTACTAAAAGGGGGAGCAGGGTCACTTCTAATTCCCCGAGCAGCATGTCCACTCTAGCCACAGTGCAACAACCTGCACCCTTGACAGGGAAGAGTGGGAGTTACATGCCCTTCAGGAGGGAGACTTTTGGGGACTGACCCAAAAGGCTTTTCACATAACCTTGTTGATGACCCTATCATAAACTTAATACGTCCCTCGCTGCGGCGGGGAAAGAAAAGCCTTCCAGCCCAACTGCACGAAACACAGGTTGAGTGAAACAAGCCAGACGTGCCTGAGTTCTAACCATGCTGCTCAACCATCGAATGTGCTCTGGCCTGAGAACTGGCCCAAAGCTAGAAAAGCCATGGGCTAGCGCATGTTGCACTTCCACTGACTTTTCTTAAGTTTTCTTCTCATTGTCACTAATTAATCAAGCTCAATTTACTGCGCAGGGAATTCCTCATCCACAAACTAATGCAGTGAATACTGACCAACCCCCTGTAACCTCCACAGTTATTACAGGCCCCTGTTCTCCATAGTAGAGCAGCAGTTGCTGCTATTGCACAGGGATTCCCATGTCCCCTCTCTCGCTCCTGAGCACCAGGCCCATGAAGGGAACTGAGAGATTTCTGACTGAGGAGTGGCAAGAAGGGAGGCAGCTGCTGGGCTGAGCCCTTAGTCACGTGTTCTGTGAATACCACCTTGTGCCCCTTCTTGCTGCTGTTCTGCGGCAGTTACTAGCTTCTCATTTCAGGACGAAGCAGCCCTTGGTTGGTCCTCTGTGCTGAGAGCCAGTACCACAGCTGGGGAGAATCTCTCAAGTCTTTCCTCACCTGTCCAGTTAAATGAGTGCTTCAGTCTCTGGCTGGCTTTGATCTTGTGTGTCTTCTGCCTGGTACTGCTCCAAAGGGCATGTATGACTGGCTTCTCCATTCATTTCCTTCAGCGGACGGTACATGTAGTCATCACTTCCACAGCGCTCCGCTGCCCAGCTCCTAAGAGCGAGCCTCACGTTTCCTACCATGCTGATCAAAAGCAACAGTCCCAAGACTGAGGTGAAGCAGATCCAGGTTCTCCTGTGAGAGAGGAAGGAATAACCCAGTCTCAGAAACGCAGCACCACGTTTCAGTACATCTGCAACTATGCAGCAGATTTCAGGTATGTGGCTCCTGGCTGACTGACTGCACCACTGCTGCAGCCTAAGGTCTTGCTTCTCACAGTGGCTTAAATGGGTGCTTTTAGCCTCTCAGACTGGCTGCTTCTATGGTGTTTGGCCTCTTCCTTTAACGCTGACCTTTGGTCTCTCTCTTCTGCCAGTAGAGCTGACTGTGGCAGACAGACAGGCTGGGATTAGTGAAAAGCATGTTCCTCTGTGTGAAATGACTGGGGCACAGAAGGAAGATGAACGAATGGCTGCTGGACCCCACTGTTTCCAGCAAAGAAAGGCAGGCTCCATTTGTTTCATAACTAAGGCTATGAGTTGGTCACAGAGATCAGGGAGGTCATGGATTCTGTGATTTTAGGTGACCTCTGTGACTTCAGCCCCGAAAGGGGTGGGGCTTGGGCAGCCAGCCCTATGTTTGTGTGATTTATTGTGTATTGCCTGTGGCTTTTACTAAAAATATCTGTGACAAAATCTTAACCTTATTCATAACAAAAGCAGAACAGAGTGTACTTGAAGCGGTTCTCTCATTTCACTAACGGGAGCCACAATGTAGGGTTAGTAAAAGTAAGTGAACGGCTTTAAATGTGGAGGCCCATCATTAGCAGTGCAGCTGGTGTAGTCTCTCCTCATCAGTAATACAAGCACCATACGATGGTGCTGCATCTGGATGGCCTGCAATCAAAATTAACTTGCCCAGAAGCTGGAAATCAAGTGCAACCCAGGGCAAAAACTAGGCTAAGGGAGTTTAATCCACCGGTTTGGTTCCTTTGGATGCTGTGTGCATGGGGCTCTGCTTCCATACAGGAGTTATTTGCAGTTCAGAGCTAGTAGGGCTGGAGGACTCAGTTTAATGCAATATTGCACCAGCATATGTGAGAGACCTTTCGCCACCATCCCCTATGGTGCGAACCCTGCAGCAGCTAGGCCAGTGGGGAACAAAGCCCTTGTCTTACAATTACAGAGGCAATTAACAATCTACCCCCAAGAGCTTAGCCAAAGTGAGGATGAATCATGATTCATCTCCCTCCCCAAACGCAGGGCCCTCCCTGAGTATTATTTACAGACTGGCTGTTGGCCGAACAGGATGTAAGAGGAGGGAGGATAGGGCACACACTGTCTACTGAGTCTCTCCCATGGGGCCCTCCCATGACAGCTGTTGGGCATTGGTTGCCCTTACCTTCCCCTCTAGTCTTGTGTCAGAGTAGCAACAGCAGGGCCCTAGCTCTTGCTTGTAGACCCACAACTTGAGGCTGGCTTTCAAAGCCAGCTTAGACACACTCTGCAGCCTAGGGGCAGCTCCCTCCTAAGAATTTTATGCTCACCCAGAAGCCTGATGAGCTGAGCACAGAGCTTCAAGAGCAATCACGTGTACTATACACAATGAAGCAGGAGATTTTCACACTCCCTGGCCATCCTCCCCACCTCACCACAAAAGGCCAACTGGCGGCAGGCAGGTGCTGCTCTATCATTTGTTCATATATAATCAAACATCGCACACTTACTCTGTGAGAAGGGATTTCTCATCACTCCCTGCCAGAACCATGTGGAAAGCCAGACAGTGCCCAGCTGGAAGACAAGATGACGACTGGTGAAGGAAACAGGTGTAGGCGGGGTGGAACTGCCTCACGCCGAACGAGCCCAACCGAAGCACAGGGAAAAGCATTAGCTAGCCAAGGTGGCAGCTGCTTGGATCATAGCTCCGTGGAGCTAATGACAAGTGAGACAAGCTTTGGTCCCTATGGTCACATCAGTGTCACATGGTAAAGCTGCTGCACCATGTAGCCGAAGAGAACCAAGCAAAGCGGCATACCTCTGGATAACTTGTCCTGCAGGCTGTCCTCGTAGGTGATATTACAGCTGCCTGTCTCCTGGTCACAAGGACAGCCGTGCTCGCAGTCACAGAGCTGCTGGCAGTTTGGCCCATACCAGCCTACGGGGCACTCTGAGGAATTAAGGTCAATCGATTACAAAGAAAGCAGGCTATATTCCCTGCAGGCGGGGATTTCCACATCAGCACAAGCATATTACCTCAGCCATGCATGTCCCACTACAGCCACTGCATGTAGAGTAATTGTTCAGAAACACTTGAAGCTTCATTTCCCCAGTGTATTTTCGCACACTACCTGTCTATCTCAGGCACTTATCTAGTCCCCCTCCCCATAGCATCTAAGCACCTAGGGAATGATGTAGAGGCTACGATTTAGTTTGGAAGAACAAGCGTTTTATGAGAACAAGGTGACAAAAACTAAAATTAAAAGAGCACAGTGTAATTAATCTGTGCAACTCCCTGCAGCAGGATCTTGAGGCAGAAAGTAAGATTCACACCAGCATTAGATGTTTTAATAAGAGCAGGTGCAGTTACGCAAACTAAGAAACAAGAGCTACAGGCAAATCAGCCATTAAAGGGAGAGTGCAAAACCCAGACTTTCAACACTCATCGACTCAGACTAGGTACATGCTAGAGGTTTTAGTGTGGAGCGACACCCAGAATTAAGAGGTCATGGTCAGCTGCCTTTGGCTTTGTCAGATTTACAGCTTTCTGGCTGAAACTTGGCCCATTTGTCAGGCCAGGTGTAAATTAGGTGGGAGTTCAGCTGGTTTTGAAAGCACACAGGGAAAGAGCCAGTCTCTTCCAGTTACAAAAGAAAGTGTCACATTTTTAAACAGCATTTTGTACATAAAAGGCAGCCACCTAGCATAGCTGTAAGCCTGACTTGTCTGCATTACCATGACCCAACTGGAGAGTCTATGCCTGGGCTTGCTTGACTGAGTCCTGTGGGGCAGAGCTCATGTCTTCCTTAGTCTGAACACAGGGTTGCTCCATACAGGGCATTTAAAGCCTTTGTACACACACACCGCTCTTGGGAAGAGATGTCACCTTGCTGACAGATGGCTCCTTGGTAACCAGCAGGGCAGGTGCAGGATCCGTGCACAGAGTCACACGTTCCACCATTCTGACAGAGGCATTTCTGGGTGCAGCCATCCCCATAGGAGCCACTAGCACACACTGCAGGCAAGCACAAACTCATCAGGGCTCTCTTACTGGCCACGCCAAGAGCAAATGGAATTCTCTGTATCAACATGCCAGCACCCCTTCCCCAGCGCTCTCCCCATTCACTGAGTATTCATTACAAAGGGACAGGACACCACAGCACCTCCTACAAGCCAATCAGCTGCTAAGCAAAGCGAATTAAAACCAGGCAAGTGCCCTGTGACAGCGTGGAGCGAACCTGCCTCAGCTGGGAGCAGGGCATGCCAGGAGAAGGAAGAGATCAGTTTGCAGGGGGCTCCCATTAAGGGTAAGGGGGGGGGACAACTCTGCTCTTTATGCCTTTGATTAAGTGTCCAGAAAAGGGAGCTCCCACCAGAACAGGTAAAGAGGTTGGACAGGATTCCTATGTTGCTGTAGCTGTTTCCCTCCTCCCCTTTAATGGGCAACTGATCCCAGTGAGGAATCCCCAGCTGGTGCTGGACAAGCCCCCTCAACCCCTTTGCTCACCACGGGCTGGCTCTGTCAGAGGATAACATCTGAGAACCTCATGGATAGGGGAGGGGCCTTCAGGAAAGCTGAGAAGCCCTGCAGCTCAGGGACTATCCCCAGGCCTGGGCAGGGGCAAAGACTTCCCAAGGGCTCTAGAAAGCACTTGCTACATGGGGAGAGTTAACTAGTGCCTGATGAAGTCACAGATCTCCTCAGCTCCCATTGATGATTTGAGCACCTGCAGCTCCAAAGCCCGTGATGGATGTGTTGCTCACGGCAAGGCCACAGAGATGCTGCTAGCTGGGTGATAATGCTGTGTTGGGCTGTTTAATAAAAGGCCTTTTAAAAACAAAAAACCCTCCTGCACCTTTGATCATGTGTCCATCCCAGACCCGTCAGCTTTCACCCATGCTCCCTTCCCCATTGCTACTCTATTGCTGTACCTCAGGAAACTCTCTGGAGGGCTGGAGAGCCAGGAGGGTGGTGACATCACCGTTATTAAGGAGGTGAAACCTCAGAAGGGAAGTAATTTATTCACACTACTTAAAACTTATTTAACTACGACACTTGAGGAGAACTTATCCTGGTTTAGAGGCTGAATTCACACTCCACACCCTGCAGTTAAAAAGGCAGGAAGCTCGCAATCTACAGTTCTCAGACCTATCTGACTGGGAACCACAGCTTGGAAATCCTGGCTTTGTCTAACGGGGGAAAAATGCAGTAAACCCCTTGCAGGCCATTATGTATCCTAAAGGCACAACAGAAAAAGGACAACACAGCTTGTTGTCTTTCTTTTGCAGCTCACCCTTACGAAGCTCTTACAGAACAGTGTGGATGTTAGATAGGGTCAATAGAATCACATTTCCCCACTGCTGCAGGCATCAGGTAGACAGCGCCCTATAACGACGGATCACGCGGTCCCCTCCATAGTCATAAAGAAGAAGATTATGATACAAATTGGAGTTACCTTCACTGCAGTTGCTGCCTATCCAGCCAGCATCACAGAGGCATCCAGCTGCACAAGAAGGAAACACAAATCAGGCATTGCAGCTGAGACAGGCAGCGAGACTACAGATTGCTTGAGACACCAATGCCCCTACTTAGAACATGCACCCGGAAATCAAGATAAGGGTTAACACACACTCCCCTCCGGGAGAGTCAGGGAGTGGACCAGCTGCGCTCATTTGCAGCTGCTGCTATAAAAGGCTTGGCTCTCAACAGAGTCTGGAGTAAGAGCAGCTCTCCTAAGGAAGAAGACTTCAGTTCTCAGCAGAACACAGGTGCTAGATACTGGAGGTATTTTCTGTATGCAGAGCATGAGTGACTGGGGTGGGCTGGAGCAAGCCATGTTCTTGAGAGGGCTGCAGTCAGTCACAAGGTACTTTTTCTGTGGGGATTCCTAAGAGTAAGGGGCAATGGGTTGTGCTGGGAACTTGTGGGAGGAATCACTCAGGCTCATTAGAATGAAAGTCAATGGTGACTCTTAACTAGAAAGGCTCCAGTGTGGTATTTCAGCAAGGCAGGAGTGGTCCAAGGAGGTGACTGCCCTGGCTGTTTTGTCATGTAACAAGCTCTGCAGTTCCTACAGGGATACAAGGATGTGGAGGGGCCTTGGGAGGGGAAATGTTCACAAGAGGCTCTCTCTTCAGTGGTCCAGAACCTCTTCCAGACAGCTAGGAGCATAGCCTTGTTACTGTGTGGAGCTAGGCGGGAGGGGTTCCCCTACTCTGATTAGGTGGCAGATGTGAACTATGAACCATAACCTGGCCAATCTCTATAAACCCAATAGCTGCACCTCCCTCCCCACCCACTGCCCCCCAGCTGGTAATGATGACATATAGCATGTGACATTAGTAACACACCCACCCCTCCGTTGCAATGGGCCTGCTCTGTAAATAGGGGTGGCTTACACTCAGTGCAGATGCCATGCTGGCTGCAGTTGGAAGGCCCACAGTCCAGGACACTGCAATCTGGTCCTCTCCAGAAGTCCCCAGTGCATTGGCATTCTCCCAGCACGCAGTGCCCATGCCCGCTGCAATCTGGAGCCTCGCAAGCAGGCTCGTGGATACACATGACTGTCGAGACGCTCCGAGGGCAGCGCCACATGGCGTCGGACTTGCTGAGGACAAAAGGCAGTTCCCATGAGCAAAGGCTGGGGTGCGAAAGATTCCCTGCTCCTACAGCCCTGTGGCATGAGGGGTGAGCTGTGCAGATACTGGCAAAAACTGAAAGCCAGAATCGCTGAGTCCTCCAACAGGGAAACACGCCCAGGCCTCTACTGGTTCTTGGATCAGCTGGCACGTTAGTAAGGCTCATGTAGATCAGCTGCCAGACACTTCATATTTGATCCCCATTTCAGTCACAGCCCCATTTGATAGCTTGGCTAGCAGCCTGATGATGGCGAGGGTTGTGTAATACCAGAGCACTTGGGAAAATTAGGTAATCACTCCAAATCCCATTAGTCCAGGGGTGGCCAACCTGTGGTTCCAGAGCCATATGCGGCTCCTTGTACAGGCACCGACTCTGGGGCTGGAGCTACAGGCGCCAACTTTCCGATGTGCCGGGGGGTGCTCACTGCTCAACCCTTGGCTCTGCCACAGGCCCTGCCCCCACTCCACCCCGCCCTGCCCCCTCCCCTGAGCCTGCAGTGCCCTCGCTCCCCCCTCCCCTGCCAGAGCCTCCTGCATGTCACAAAACAGCTGATCGGGAGGTGTGGGGAGGGAGGGGGAGGTGTTGATCGGTGGGCAGGAGGCACTGGGAGCAGGGTGGGGGAGCTTATGGGGGCCTGCTGACATATTACTGTGGCTCTTTGGCAATGTACATTGGTAAATTCTGGCTTCCTTCTCAGGCTCAGGTTGGCCATCCCTACATTAGTCACTCACTCAAAGGAAAACTGTCACGCTTTTCCTGTGCAAACTCCTAATGCTTCAAACGCTGATTATTCCCTCTTGGGTACAAGGTGAGAAGTACAGAGCTCGAATATGATAATTTAAAAAAATAATAATTCTATTTACACAGCACACTTCTGCCTGAAAAAGCCCAAGGCATTTCCCAAACAGAGAGCCACCATCAAAATACAGCCACCTCTGGGGTGGATGACAGCTGCTAGGTAGCCAGCTGGCACACTGTGCAAAAGGGGATGGAGAACTTTAGTCTAGGCCCACCACCTACTCTTCCAAGGACTAATGGAACCCTTTATAGCTGGGCAGAGCAGATAAGATCTCTGAAAAATATTGTCTCTTGCCTGCTACTCAAAATATTGTCTCTGGCCTCCTGCCTCGGAAAGAGAGGAAGAGGGTGGAACCTGCTGGGACTCATAACTCTTACTAGTCTAGCTATCTCATTCATGCCTGATGTCTAGACTGGTACTTTGCACCAAGACGTCAAGTTATTTCTGTGACGTTCTAGGCAGGTCAGAGAGCAATACAGTCCCCTCATCCTTCCATACACACAGACCAGAATGAAGGACCAGATCTGTTCCCGAAAGAAGCAGGTGCATTTCACAGGAAAGTCAGTGGGAGTCCAACCCACTCTCGCCAGGCCTGAGTTTAGCCCTGTGACTCTGGAGTGGTTCCCACAGAGATCTTGTCTATGTAGAGGAGAGCTCCTCAGGCAATGAACTGGGAAGCTGAGGTGTCCCCATGGTTTTCACCATCCAGCGCCTACCAGTGATCCGATGGGTAACTCGCAAGGGTTCCATTTAAAACCAGAGTGGCTGACCCTCCACCATCCAGATTGATAGCATTCACGACACCCTGCTGTTTTAGGAAGTTGGCCATTTCCCAGAGATTGAGGCTGCAAAACAAAAACCAGTTATTGCAGTTTAGCACCAGGGGATGCAAGAGCCATCTCCGGGGCAAAGTAGCAGCCTCTCTGACAATCTGGAGGGACTCTGAATTCTTGAACTGGGTTTGTTCAGCACCATTTCCTGAAGCTTCTCATCGGGTCTAAAATCTGTTTAGATTTAGGATAGTCTTCTTATAGAGGAAGCAAACATTTCTGCTGGTGGCCAGTGGATATAACTGATATTTAGGATTGGCAGAATTTGATTTTTTTTAATATAATTTGGATGGATAATATCTACGTTTATTTTTAAGCATTTTTTTAATCTATTTATATTTTCACAGTTGTGGGAAACTATGGGGGAGAAGGGTCAGGCAACAATGATTAATGACAGCAGATGTTAGGCTTCAAAAAGTTAAAGCTTTATAACTATTAAAACACAAACTGTCAACGTCACATGTCAAAATATACAGAGTAAAGATCCTTAAATCCAACTCTCATAACTTCTCAAGCAGCATTTTCCTACTTTGCCTATCTGGAAACTTTGATTGTCAACAGACACATTTCTGTCAGTTTGTGTCTACGGTGGAATTGATGTTTACTGACATTTACCAAAAAAACTGAATCCTGCCAAGCCTGCTCACAGCTATGGCCCTGGAAACATAGGAGTGAAATGGCTGCCCTTGGATTTTTGCACTATGGTAACTATGACAGTGGAAAACCTCAGCCTGGGAGGACTACACCAATGGAAAGAGTTCAAAACTGAGCTCAGACCCCCAGTGCATGTCAATTGTACACATTGGGGGATGCTAGCAGTTCTCACTTGATGCAGCTCTACTAATGCAGATGAGCACTCAGACAGAAGAACCAGCTTCCTTGCTGCATATCAGAAGAACCTGAAAAGGGACAGAGTCCACATAAATCATGCCTCTGTCAGAAAGATGTTATCCCTCCTAGTGGTAAATCTAAGAGGACTATCCCTGAAAGAGCTGAGAAAACAAAAGAGAAGTTTCCCCCTCCAGTTCTACTTCATGAATGTGACAACACTGTGGGGAGAGTCAAATTCACTGTTTCGTCCGGTCTAGTTGGCCATTTCCCAATGGGTCCGTCACAGGGAAAAGACACTGTTCACTATAGGAAAAGGTGACCTTAAACTCTCAAAACCAGCTGGGAAAGCTGGCAGCAGGTGCAGGGCCTGAAATTCAGAGTCCAAAGCCAGGAGGCACCTCTGTGATCATCTAATCTAGTGGTTCTCAAACTTATTGATCACGCCGACTTGTTTGTGTCCGTAGTCATATATGTGCCCGCCACACAAGTATATATGCGGTGGCGGTGCTTCCCTTGAATCAGTTTTGGCTTCTGTTTTCTCACTTGAGTTGTTTGGGTTTTTTCCTGTTGCATGAATGAGCAAACTCTCCAAGGTAATATGAGCAAAAGCAAAACTGCGACTGTGGTCCATGCTTACAATTAAATGTGCACACTGCATTGTAGCAATCGGATGGCCGTGACTTTGTATAATGCTAGGCAAGTTTAACAGAAATCCATCAAAATGCACGGCGCCACCTGAGGACCTGATATGTCTGGAGGAATCAGCTTTGCTAGTTATTCATTGCTGTAGGTACAATGTCTGCAGTAAGTGTCTACCCTCACCCCCCCAGAATACATTCCATGTCCCCCAGTTTGAGAACCTCTGATCTCATGTATACCACAGGCCAGAGAACTTCCCCTTAGAATAACATCCAATCTTGATTTAAAAATAGTCAGTGATGGAGAATCCACCACAACCTGGTAAAGTGTTCCAATGGTTCATTACTCTCTCAGTTAAAAAATTATGCCTTTATTTCCAGTCTCAATTTGTCTAGCTTCAACTTCCATCCATTGGATCGTGTTCTACCTTTCTGCGCCTAGACTGAAGAGCCCATTATTAAATATTTGTTCCCTATGTAGATACTTAGAGACTGTGATCAAGTCATCCCTTAACCTTCTCTTTGTGTCTGTCAGTATAAGGCATGTTTTCTAATCCTTTAATCATTCTCGTGGCTCTTCTCTGAACCCTCTCCAATTTGTCGACATCCTTCTTGAACTGTGGACACCAGAACTGGGCGCAGTATTCCAGCAGCAGTTGCACAAGTGCCAAATACAGAGGTAAAATAACCTCTCTATTCCTACTCAAGAATCCCCTGTTTATACGTCACAGGATTCCATTAGCTCTTTTGGCCGTAGAGTCACATTGGGAGCTCATGTTCAGCTGATTATCCACCACGACCCCCAAATCTTTTTCAGATTAAGCCCTTTAGTCTTAAACTGACTCCATTTCAAGTTTGCAGCATCCGTTTATTGTTCCAAAATATACAGGATGGGCCTAAGTTAGCCCGGTGTAGTTCTCTTTAAGCCAGAGAGTTACACCGTGGTTGATCGGCTCCAATACCTTTAAATTCTCTTGGGTTTTTTTCAGGAGTGCAGGAGGGAGAAGGAAGTTATAGACTAGGACACACATCATACATCTGGCTTCCAGGACAGAGTAAGCTTCCATTTTAAAAAGTTACACTTCTAACCCTTTTAACTGACATGTGGGGGAATCATGCAAATGCAGCACTGTCTGGATAGCTCTGCAGACAAGTGAAAACAATAGGTCCAACCTGTTCCCATTGAAATGAACAGCAAAACTATCATGAATGTCAACAACAGCAGTATCTGGCTCAACACTGCTGAGAGGAGAAAATTATCCTTATACATCACAATGAAATCTCCACTCTGAAGCCTAGTGATGGCAACATCAGTGCCAACACGTAATTTCACTTGAGATCATTTTAGCAGAAAGATCCAGCATCAGTTCTTCTGTCTGCAGTCATGGATTTAGAAGGGAGAGTGGGGTATCAAGAGCCCAACTGGTTCAACAGGGCATGGCTAGCAGTAATGGAGCCCTGCAGGGTTGTTCTCTCATTAACTCAGAGTGCCTGGCTCTGCCTCTGTATCACTGCAAACTTTTAAACGGTGCCTTAAACTTACACCTGGCTTTACTGAACATGGGAGCAGATGTTGTTCTCAGTACTGGCAGTGATGCCGGATCAGTCCCTTTGATACTTTGCCTGCCCCGTGAGTTTACTAAAGAACGAATCCTCAGCCTTACCCCCTCACATCAGTCTGTCCATCCACATGAACCAAAATCAGTCGCCCGAGCCTGTCATGTCCCACTGCCGTCCTGGCAGATATCACATTGATGAACTTGTCAAAGGTCCCTGCATGGGGAAAAAGGACAATTCACAGGCAGGTGAAAGAGCTGACTTTACAGATACCTCCATCTGGAAAAGACTGAGCACTAGTTGCTAACTTAACTCCAGCCTTCCCCATCTAACCTCGCATAGGAACTAGGGATAAGAATTTCCATAACCGCTCTTGTTACAAGAGACTGGCTCGTTCGGGGAGATTGGGAATGGAATATGGAGCCCTTCACCTCTAGGTCAGGGTTCAGCTGCAGCCCAGGTTGATGGTGACTGCTCTTGTGAAATGAGTTTCTGGCTTCAATCTAGTTCTCCATGGATAAGCATTCACACTAAAATAGGGTCCCTTGCTAGTACCTTCAGGCCAAGGACTAACGGGATATTATTATTTCTAGCACCCAAAGCCTCTAATCAGGATCAGGGCCCTACAGATGTGGATCTAGAAGACAGTCTCTCCTCCAGAGTTCACAGTCTAGGAAATGAGTTGAGAATCCACGCTGGCCTGGGTCAGATGGGTTTTGCAAGGCATTGAATCAGTCCCAGGACTCCTGAGGCTGTGTGGACAGACCCTGCATTGCATTATGGGAAGGAGCCTGCTCCCCGCTCTCTCCAACTTCCAGGGGAGAGCTCCAACTGTTGTATCTTGTTACAGCAGCGACTGAGGTGGGGGATAGGAAAAGACAGTGTCAAGATACTGGCTGAACATCAGCTTATTGAGTGACCTGTTAACTCTCCCACTCCCCATATTACTAGATTGGCATGGGCACCGGGGTGCTTTGCTTCACAACCCAGACAAAATAAGACTCTCTCTCTCTCCTTATCCAAGCAAGGCTTATTTTCAGCTCCCCCACCAACAGCACTGGTGGCAATGCTAGTGCAGCCCGGCACCAACAACCACGGGCACTTTAACCATTACACTGTCTAGACCTACTCTGAGCAGGGTTAGGTGACTTGGTGTCTAAAATGGCGGCAGGTATCCCACCGCTATCACCAGCTGTGCAGGCAGTAGCAACAGGGAGACATGTTAATGCTTCTGGTTCCGTTACAATGTGGCACATGCTATACCCATCATCTGATCCTCCCCAAGCAGTATGGGAAACAGTTTAGCTCTGTCTACACTTGCAGATGCACAACTGTTTGCAGATGCAGCCATGGCTGACAATGGGGGTGGCACGTACCAGTGCAGACAAAACCTATAGCTATGAAACCAAGATGCCCATTTACAACCTCCTCACAAGGCAGTTCGTCAGCAGATTGGAGGCAGTAGCTTAGGATCTTTACCTGTGGCTTGAGTCTTGTCACACTCCGCTGTCTTACTCTGATCGACATACACCTCTCCATCTCTCAGCAGCCAGACTACGCCGCTCACCAGCTGCACAAATGGGTTCACTTGATCCAAAACATCTTCCTCCGACAGGTAACTGGGGGAGAGACCAGAGGAGTGATCAGAGGTGGATCATCAAAGTGCCCCAAAACCTTTAGTGATGCCAGACTATTGCCTCGTCTACATTAGGAAATCCATTTATTCCTGACAACAGGCAGCTCAACCAGTTCTGGAAAAATGTGACCATATGCGTATATCAAGCCATGTTCTGCACTGTTTCAGAAGCAATGGACTGAACCTGGCAGGCAGCAAATCTATACAACACCCCGGGTAATACCCAAGTGACCATCAGCCCCTTTTGTATACTAAAACTCCTGCATTGGTACCACCAGGAGAGCTGAACCAGAGGAGCAGTGGTAGGGAGATTACGGCAAAACACCTTACTCTAGACAGAACCATCCCCGCAGCCAGAAACACGTCAATTTTCAAGCACAGGCAGAGCCTTGGGCTCTGTCTCCACTAGCAATGTGTTAAACCTTCTACAACAGCAGCTCCATCTTAACAGGTTTAAAAGAGCCTAAGTGGGCTCAGTTTAATCTGGCAGTGAAAATGAGTTGAGAATCCACACTGGCCTGGGTCAGATGGGTTTTGCAAGGCATTGACTCAGTCCCAGGACTCCTGAGGCTGTGTGGACAGACCCTGCATTGCATTATGGGAAGGAGCCTTCATAAAAAAAAAACAAAAACCCCAAACCAGCATTCTTGGAAGCAGAGCAAATGCTGAAAAAGGCATTCATGACTAGAACCTCCAGGCCAGCTAGTAGGCGTGACCATCCACATGAGTTCTTATTCACACAAACATTCATTGAAAAAACAAAGCATCACGAATACAAGCGTGATTAGTGGTGAGCGTATTTAGCATTTGAATGGCTCTCATGGCATTGTGAGAAAACCCTTCACAATTCATGTCAAATGCATCCCATTTGGTCCAGGAAATACAGAAAGCTTCTTAAGTGTATTTTGGAAGACTATTTTACTACCCTTTACTATCTGTGCTGGATATAATGCACCATGTACTTGAAAATCTGCAACTTTCAACATATTTATGAAGAGGGAAAGTCTAATTTGTAAGTTTAATATCTGATATTTACGAACACTGATTCTCACCACTCTCCTGGGAGGTGAGCATTATCCCCTTTTGATTGGTGAGAAACTGAGGCAGTGGCAAGCTAAGGGCCTCATTTCCTGAGGTACCAAGCACTCACAAGCATAGAGGAAATCAACAAACTGGGGGTATTCAGCGCCACTGCAAATTCAGCACCTAAGGGAGTTGCCCAAGGTCAGAAAGGGGAGTCTGGAGCAGAGCCATGTGTAGAAATTATGAGTGACTGGCTCCAAGACTAGTGATTCATAAATTCAGATTCCAAGGCCAGAAGGATCCATTGTGATTGTCTAGCCTGACCTATTGTAGATTGCAGGCCAGAGAACCTTTCCAAAATGATTTCTAGAGCAGATCTTTTGGAAAAATGTCCAACTGAACTACAAAGCCCTGAATTAAAAAGATAAATCTCACTCTTCAATAGACCACAGGGTATCAAGGTTAAATGAACCAGTGCAAGATCGGGAAAGCCTTCATAGTGCCTAGGCACGCATCACTTTTTTTAATAGATGGGCTCTGTTTTCCCTACAATTAATTGTATGTAAAAGTGATAGTCATACAACTTCTGTGTACACAGGTGTACATTACAGACTACTGTGTACATTACAGACAGAGGAGAAAATGGTTCTCTTGGTGTATGCCTAATCAGTTGCCTATGCAATGCATAATACAGAAATTGCACACACAAAAATGACGGTTGTTTGGAACAGTCTGTAAATATGATCCTTTATCTGCACGGTATTCCAGGGAAACAGAACTATTTCTGCAAAGCTTTAATATCCCTTTTGTCCATCCAACAATGTAAAACAGTAATTAAAAAAAAAAAATGAAGCTGCTGGGTGACTACATGAAGCCCTAGTATTGATCTTGATAGGCTACATTCAGCCCTGGAAAAATATCAGGGTCTTTCTACCAAGCTGCTCTGATAGATCACACTGCCAGTGCTTCCTTTCAATAAGGAGACGTAATGTCTGAGATCAGGCCAAGAGGGCCATTCTATAATGTACGGGATTAAAAATCCCCAATGTTATAGTAGGGGAAGGTCCAGAAGCCAGTTCCTAAGGGGGGCACTTTCTGCCTTAATGTTTATACTGAGCCTTTTGAGACAAGAAAATGGCACAGAAAAGCGCCCAGATCCTTACCCAAACACCATGGTGCCGTCCTTCCTGATGCCAAACTGCGCATTCTGCACACCCCTGGCATTTCTCACCAGCCTTCCATCGCTCACAACGTTCCCAAGGCATTCTCCGGTGACCATGTCAAAGTAGCCACCATTTTGGGCCACCAGGCACTTGCCACGTCTTGCAGTTTCTATCACAGTGGACCGAAGGCTTGAATTGCAACCTCCCAAGCTGCCAGGCTCTAACACAGAGAAGGTTCTCAGGGGGTTGCTCACAAAAGTAAAGTGGCCATAGACTTCCCTTTGCATCACGCCCTCTGGCGGGAAGTAAGACACGAATCCTCTTGTCGTAGTCATGGGCAGTTCGATGCTAGTGTTGCTGGGCCAAGTTTCATGTGTTACGTTGCCATGCACAACAGCTTGACAATCTCTGACGTACCTGTGATGGTGACGAGGACCATGGTAGGAAGGAGGATATGGCAATAACAAGTCGTCATTTAATGAACTCCTGAAATGAAGCGATGGGTGACATTGTGAAATCTAGTTCTCATTCAACCAGCTGGTCTGTTTTCCGCCTGTCTGTCTAAGCTACTTACAGGACCCTCTGAGCACCTCACAGTCTTTTCAATGGATTTAGCCTCACGATATCCCTGCAAGGGGAGTGCTCCTACCCTCATCTTACAGATGGAACCGAGGCACAGGCCGTGGCAGCAAGCCTCCCAGCCCGGGTTGACAGACTTGGGCTTGCAGGGCTCTCACTGGCGCTCTAAAAACAAGCGTGTAGCCAGCAGCTTGAACTTCCAATTCAGACTCTGAAGCCTAAGGAGGGAGTGGGCTTCAAGCCCGAGCTCCAGCCTGAGTCACAACTTCAAAGCGCTGTCTACACAGCTATTCTTACAGCACCAATGCAAACCCAGGTCTATTGGCCTGAGCTGGGACACTCACTCCTGCAGCCTATGTAGACATACCCAGAGACACTAAGGTCTTGTCTACACTTAAAACTTTTGCCACTTTTAACTTTGCTGGCATAGTTAAAGTGGCGACCCCGTCCTCTCCCCACCTCCAATCCATGCAACTATGGTGGTATATTGGTACAGCTTATTCCAATTCGGCTAAGTGAACTAAGCTATACTGCTATAAAGCATCTTGTACTGGCATAACTACATCTACACTAGGGCTTTGCTGGCATAACTGTGCTGATTAGGAGTGTGATTTTTTTCCTCTCTTTTAAACCAACATAGTTATGATAGTAAAACTTCTGAAGTATAGAGCAGATTAAGTGTCTTGCCCAAGGTCACACAGAAAGTACATGGCAGAGCAGTGAACGGAACCCATGTCTCAAGTCCCTAAGCTCTTATCTACTAAGGAAACCAGCACCATTTTGCTGTCACTATTGCAGTACCAGCAGTGGGAGTGCTGGCATAGGCAGGGGACAGGTATTTTTAAACTATGCTTCATTTAAATGATCAGAGCAGGCCTAGATGTCACAGTGGCAAACATACCTGCACCCTGTATATACTAGGGCTTCTATTGCAGCTGTTCGTGCAACAATGAGAGTTTTCCTAAAGAGCTTAAATCAGAGCTGGGCAAACTACAGCCCACGGGCCACATGCGGCCCGCGGGACCGTCCTGCCCAGCCCCTGAACTCTCAGCCGGGGAGGCTAGCCCCCAGCCCCCGCTGTCTCCCCTTCCCCGCAGCCAAGCCGCCACAAGGGCAGCACGGCTTGCACCCGCTCATCTCCCAGGCTTTCCAATAAGCCAGTCCTGCTGCTCTGAGCAGCATGGTAAGGGATCAGAGAGCTGGCGGAAGGAGGGGGGGCGGGTTGGATGAGGGGCAGGAGGACCCAGGAGCTGTTGGATGGGGCGGAAGTTCGGGGGGCGGTCAGGAGATGGGGCAGTTGGATAGGCGTGGGAGTCCCGGGGGGCCTGTCGGGAGGCAGGGCTGTGGATAGGGGGTGGGGCAGTCAGGGGATGGGGGGGTTGGATAGGGGATGGGGTCCGTTGGGGGCGGTTAGGGGCAGGGGGTCCCAGGAGGGGGTGATCAGGTGACAAGGAGCAGGGGGGCGGGGTCAGATGGATCGGGGATTCCTGGGGAGGCAGTCAGGGGGCGGGAAGTGGGAGGGGGTGGATGGGGGGGCACAGCCTTCCCTACCAGGCCCTCCATACAGTTTCGCAACCCCAAATTGGTCCTTGGGCCAAAAAGTTTTCCCATCCTGGCTTAGATAAAGCACTGTTGACAAGATGAGTGGGGCGGGGCGGAACAGGTGATGTGGGAGATGCCCAGGATAAAAGGATTTGCTGAACTCAGAAGGGGGCTGTGATGTAACTTTTTTTTTTTAAAACAGTCTCTTATGTTCCACATGCTTTGATAGATGGACACCACTAAAACTGGATTCCAAATTCTTTACTCATTAGTAAATAGGTTGTTACTTTGTGTTGCCTTTAGCATGAGACAAAAGGAATAATATCTGCCACAAACACACCTTATATTTTTCTGAGGTTACCACATATGAATATCAGTCACTAACTATATTAAAAAAGACATTACCAGGAGAGTTGCACAGAGGAAATTAACTCTGACATATTAGGTAACTGATACAAGGAAATCCTGTCTTGAATACCCAAGACAGTTAGGTCTTGTTTACATTATAGACCTTTATTAGCATAATCAGGGGTGTGTAAAATCCACATCTCAGACAACTTGGTTATACCGCCCTAAGCCCGTGTAGATAGCACTTATGACACCGGGAGACCTTTTCCCACCAACATAGCTACTGCCTCTTGGGGAGGTAGAGTAACTACACTGATGGGATTGCAGCTGCACTGATGCAGGGTTTTAAGTGTAGACACGCCCCTAGAAAAAACATAATATAAAGGAATTATACATTGAGACATACAAAGCTCACTGTTTCTTCAGACTCCCAAAACCCTGGTCTATGCTTATAGAATAGTTGTGCTAGCTGTCATAGGTGTTCGATTGTTGCCCTAGTCCAGGTTTGTCACCAATGTATATGGGGCATAATTGAGTGGAAATAATTTCTGAAAGGAGGCTAGGTAGTAATCAACTATTGGCATGACTATAAAAGCTAAAACACTCAAATGTTTCTTTTCTGGCATGTTCTCTCTTTCCTAGTGTAGACAAACAACAAAGTACAGTACTTAGCTTCTAGACCATAATAGTCATAGTCTCATTTCCAGGAATCTTTCTTTTCAATGGCTTTTCTGTCTCTCTTGCTTGCTTTGTTTATGCTGTGGCTCCACAAGCAGGGGATGTGTTATGTTTTTGCTCCTACACACTAAGGTCAGGTTAAACCAGTTTAGAGCAGTTTGGACATGGGGAGATCTGCTAAAAGTTCATTTTCCCTCTAAGTGCATGTCGCATCGGAGACAGGACTTCCCACAAGTAGTAAGTACCGCAAAGTTTGTTCCCTAGACCCTGTGAAAGGTGCAGGTCGGCCGAGACACCCCCCGCCGCACCATTTAGGGCAGGGATTCTCAAACTGGGGGTCAGGACACCTCAGAGGGTCGTGAGATTATTACATGGGAGGGTCGTGAGCACTGTTCCCTCAAAGCTGTGCGCGCACACACAGATCCTAAAGCCCAAGCACACAGTGAAACACTGTGCGCACAAAAATTTGCACAGAAGAAATTTTTTGCGCACTCGGCCTGTCAAAAATTAGAGGGAATGCTGGTTGTGAGCTGTCAGCCTCCCACCCAAACCCTGCTTTGCATCCAGCATTTATAATGATGTTAAATATATAAAAGAAGTGTTTTTAATTTATAAGGGGGGGAGTCGCACTCAGAGGCTTGCTCTGTGAAAGGGGTCACCAGTACAAAAGTTTGAGAACCACTGATTTAGGGGAACAAACTAGACACGGGGGGGGGGGAATGCAGGGACAGCACGTGTCATGAACAGAAAATGCTGTTAAGATGCCCCCCATGAGAGCACTACAGGGGGAGGGGTAGATGGTTTGGGGGGAAGGGGGAACTGGGCTGAGTTTATTAGTGGGGGAGGGAAAAGGGGTGGCGAGGGGAACTGGCCGGGGTCCCTGGTTGGCGGGGATGGGGACACTGGACCGGGGTTACCAGTGGACCGGGGTTACCAGCGGGCCGGGTGTGCTCCCTCCCCAGCCTCGACACCTGGGCTGGTCGGACCAGCTGCCCAGCCGGGAGGCCAGAGACTCACCCCCCGTCGCTGCCGCCGTGCGCTGTGCGGAGCCAGCTGAGCAGCGCCAAGGAGGCGGCGAGAACAGCCACAGGCCGCGGCCACCACCACCGCCGCCGGCTCCCCCAACTCCGGGCCGCGCACCCCGTCGCCAGCGTGGAGCCCGCCATTTTGAGCGGGTCGGAAGATCACATGAGAATGGGTCATGTCACGTGACGAGAGAGAGAGAGAGAGAGAGAGAGGAACTAGCTGAGGGTTGTGCGCCACCTAGTGTCAGCCCGGCCCTATCGCGGCCGCCAGCGCCCGCTGAGGCCAGGCAGGAGCCTGGCGGCCGGGCGGGGGGCTTTGCTCAGCCGCAAATTGACCATAGGGGGCAACGTGTGACAGCGAGAGGCTTCTTCATACCCCAAACCCTGCCCCCATTAAACCCCTCATAATGCCCCCTCCCAGCTGCCCCCAGGAGACTAGCCTAGAATAGTTTCTATAACCCCCCCCAAAGAACCCCATGAAACCCATAGTACTCCACAGAAACCTACCCCCAAAACCTGAGCCCCTTCAATTGACACCCTGCCCAGCCGCCTCAGAATCTGGTCTCTTGTGATCCCACCCCAAACTTACTCCCTCTGTTGTGACCCTCGCCTCTCCAAACCTGCCCCTATGTCGGGACCCCCACATTGGTTCCACACCCAACAGGAGCTTTGCGGGCTCTCACAAATTTAGCTGCACTCCTGATATTTGGAAGGTTGGTTTGTTTTTTCCCCCGCCCTAAAGCCCCTGGAACTCCTTGGTGCCAAATGGGCAGGGGACATGGGGCACATAAGGTTTTACAGGATCCCCCATCCCTGGGTCAGCTATCTGCATAATAGTTCTCCAAAAGGTGGCATGAGAAGTCTCTACCAAGAGCTAGTAGCCCACTGTTCGTCATAACCATTGGGATATTCATGTACAGATAATATTGAAGGAGTTATGTAGCTTTACAAAAAATTATATTCTTAAGATCTTGGAGTTAAGGCACGTCACCAGGAGGTGACAACCTCAGAGCTGTTCCTTTCAGGCAGGACATAACAGACATCCATCTCCCTGTCTGGTAATTTGTGTTTTGTGCATTTTCTGCCTGTTTGCATACTGAGCCATAGACAAAAGAACAGATTGTGAAATCTACAGAAACCAACAAGCAGCAGGATGGGTGTCCTGCTTATGAATAAAGACAAAGGATAGTTGTATATCGTGAGGTGCAAGGAAACACATGGGGTCCATCGGCTAGAAGACAAATGGATAGTATGTCTATCCTATCCTATCCTACTAGTATGGATAGTATGTTTGCCACATGAAAGGAGGGTCACAGCCAAGCCTGGGTGTAAAACCTTGCAAGGACTTTGAGACACAAGAGAACCTGGTTAATTAACTCTAGGCTATAGAAAGTGTTATGTAAGCATTTGTTTCCAATACTTCTACTTACGACTACTTGAATCTCTGAGCATTGTTAAATAAACTAATACTTGATTTTACTATAAACATATCTAAGTGCTGTGAGGTAAGTGAAGCAGTGATCTGAGGAGGAACTGGCAAGCTAGGGTGTACTGTTCCTCTGGAAGCAGTGAACCTGTGAATATTGTGAGTATCCAGTGAACCAGGGCCTGGACGCTCCAGGGAGATGGTCAGAGGGCCCAGGGATTAGTGTGCCTGTTGCTTACCTGTAGAGAGACAGCAGAGCCTTTACAGGTCTAGAGCAAGGGTTCTCAGACTTCATTACACTGTGAGCCCCTTCTGACAACAAATTACTTCATGACCCCAGGATGGGGGAATCAAAGCCTGAGCCCAATCAAGTCCCACTGCCCTGAAGTCTCATTCTTTGGTGTCGGCCCTGGGTAGTGGGGCTCAGGCTTCATCCCCAGGTCCCAGCAAGTATAAGCCAGCCCTGGTGACCCCATTCAAAGTTGGTGGAGACCCACTTTGGGATCCCGACCCACAGTTTGAGAACCGCTGGTCTAGAGGGGAGTGCTTGTGTTGCCTGTGGCCAGTGGCATTGGGGAGCTGAACCCTGGCAGGCACAGACAAGGCTTCTTCATGCTAAGGGCAGGTGCTACTGAGGTGCCTCACAAACCTGGGTACCACCAGGAAGTGTCACATCTCGCTCCTGTAGTCAGGTGATTATGGGAGAATCTGGGCTTCCATTCTAAATGAGAAAAGGGTGGAGCCCTCCTGGCTGTGGAGATAAGCTTGAAAAATGTGACTCAAGCAGGGCCGGCTCTAGGATTGTTGCTGCCCCAAGCAAAAAAATCCCCCCCCCCGGCCGTTTTTTTTCATGCCCCCCCTCCCCCAGCTCCACCCCAACTCCACCCCTTTCCAACCCCTTCCCCAAATCCCCGGCTCCGCCTCCTCCCCAGGATGTGCGCATTTCCCCCCCACCGCATTGCTTCCTGTGGCTCCCCCCCGCTCACCCTAGCTCACCTCTGCTCCGCCTGCTCCCCTGAACACGCTGCCGCTCCACTTCTCCCTCCTCCCTCAGGCGAGGGAGAGGCAGCGCATTCAGGGGAGCAGGCGGAGTGGAGGTGAGCTGGGGTGGGGGAGCGCAGGAAGTAACGGGGGGGGTAGAGGAACTGCTCCCCGCCCCAGCTCACCTCCGCTCCACCACCGCCGCCTCCCCCCAACCGCGCCGCCGCTCGGCTTCTCCTCCCTCCTTCCCAGGAGATTATGAGATTCTTTCAGCCCCAGCCATTTTGACAGGAGTTGCATGGTGGAACTCTAAGCCAGGAAAGAGCTAGCTGTACATCAGAGGAGTCCTTTTTGTGTAGAAGTTTTATCATGCTTAGATTTCAGGAACTGTCTTGTGATCTGTACAGTATGGGGTTGGATATTTGCTCATCCTGTAACTACTCTAAAAAGGCACTTTTCAAGCTGAGGTGTGGACCAGTGATTATATGGACCACTTACTGGTGGGCCACTGACAGCTGTGAAGTCACATGATGCTGGCTCCACCTCTTTGGTTCCCAGTGCTTCTTTACAGGCATCCTGGCTCTTCTGCTCACTTTCTCCTACAGCTTATGCTAGAGATCCCAGTGAAAGCTGCATGTTAGCAGTTGCTGTATTTGCTAGGGGGGCACTGTGCAATAGCAAATGAGTCCTTGAGTGGGTGGGGACATGGTCTGCACTCAGATGACAGGGCGGGGCACTGTTCATGAGATGATCTCTAATAGGATGTTACTATGCAGAACATTGAATACCACTACTCTAAAAGTTTACGCCAGAGAGTATCCCCACATCAAATGTGGAGAGTTCCCTTTTTGATCCAGCTCTGTTTGATTTTTATTTTTTCCTAAACAAAATGGAATTGATTCCAGGGGGTAACACAGGCTTGGTGTTTTTGTTTTGTTTTGTTTTGTTTTAAACTAATGTACCTCTCCAAATTAAACATCACCCCAATAATCACTTGCTTAACCTTCAGTTGCTATCCCATACATAGTCAAAGATAGATAATATTTAAAGTCAATCCCTTTTCTACTTAGCTTGGATTGTGTGTCGCCATAGTGAAGGTATTTACTCTCTCTGTGCCTCAGTTTTCCCATCTGTAAAATAAAGATGATGCTTCCCTAGCTCACAGTATTGATGTGAGGATAAATACATTAACATAAATAAGGCACTTGGGGCCAGATCCTTAAAGGTGCTGAGTTTCTAGCTTCTACTGATCTCCCAGACCTGTGCCTTAACCTACAAGTCCAGTTTCCTCAGCAATACATAGTTTGTCTTTAACTGTATGCATTTTTAATGTTCTTTTTTTCTTATTTGAATAAGAAAAATCTTGAAGTCTTCCTTGATGAATTGCCCTGATTTACAAATGGAAGTTAGGAGTCTTGGTGGGTGTGGGCCGAGGACAGTGTGCAAGAACCTTGATATCTATAGATAGAGTCTGCACTTGTTCAGGGCAAAGAGAGTTTGGCCATTTACTTCAATGGAGCAGGAGCAGGCCATTAAATGATAAAATCTACAGAAAGTTATAACTGCAAACACACACATCAGCAGTCATGAATCAGCCGCAAATCTTGCTCATACATTTCCTGTGAACAGCCTCATATCTGCTTCATGTCTAACATCAGTACATATGTGGCAAAGTCACTTATGCACCAAAGCACCACTCTGTTAGATTTAAATTTTATCCTCTTTCTGGCAATTACGTCAGTTGTTTAGCGATTATAATTCACTGGCTTCATTTATATCTGGTACAGTACATAAATCCCAGAGTGATTAAGTTCTGGGCCCAAAAGCTGAGATCCAAGGCAGCTCGAGGGAGGATCAAGAGGAATAACAATACTATTTTGCGCTTACATAGCACCTTACCTCCAAGAATCTCCAAACATGGGGATATTTCATTATCCCTGTTTCACAGCTGAAGAAACAGACACTCAGAGCAGTTTGTGGCCTGTTAGTCAGAAATGCTCTGTGATTTTTTTTTTTTCAGCGTGGTACAGTAAGCCATTGGTCAGAGCAAGGAATAGCGTGGAAGAGTTCTGGATCCCAGGTAGTGCTTCCCATGGGCTCTGCCAATGTACAGCCATTTTGCTGCTCTCAGACTCACTCCCTGCCAATGTCTCATGTTCGTTGAGAAGCATGTTTTCCATTGACTGTTTTCCCCAGAGCTGCCTTTCACCTCCTGATTCCATCGGCTGTACGTGATGGGGTTTAGCCAGGGCTGGCTCTAGGCACCAGCAAAACAGCAGGTGCTTGGGCGGCACATTTCTAGGGGTGGCATTCTGGCGGCAGCCATGCTGCCCCTGGCTAGAAATGTGCCCCCTGCTGCCCCAGCTCACCTCCACTCCGCCTCCACCTGCTCCCCTGAGCCCACCGCCACCGCTCTGCTTCTCCCCCCTCTCTCCCAGGCTTGCCGCGCGCCAAACAGCTGTTTCGCATGGCAAGCCTGAGAGGGAGCGGTGAGAAGCGGAGCGGTGGCGTGTTCAGGGGAGCAGGCGGAGCGCAGGTGAGCTAGGGCGGGGAGTCGTGAGGGGGGGAGCCGCAGGAAGCAATGGGAGGAGAAGGCGGGGCCGGGGATTTGGGGAAGGGGCGGAGTTGGGGCCGGGCCGGGGCCACAAATTTTTTTTGCTTGGGGCAGCAAAAATCCTAGAGCCGGCCCTGGGTTTAGCATGGCCATTAAAATGCAATACAGAGCAGAGACCAGGATGTCTATACCCAGCGAGTAGCCCAAGCGGGACTGGTTATAATTAAACAGAGCCATGCTGTAATACATAACAAGGATGGTAAGGTGGGAGGTACAGGTGGAGAAGGCCTTGTGTCTGCCCTCAGTGGAGTAGATTTGGAGGATGGCTTGGATGATGCAGATGTAGGAAACCACAGTGAAGAAGCAGGGTCTGATGCCAATGAACACAATGGCTGCATGCAGAACAGCTTTGTTCAGGGCAGTACCAGTGCAGGACAGCTCCAAAAGAGGGCGCACGTCGCACATGAAATGGCTAATACCATCTAGCCGACAAAATGACAGAGCAGACATCAGAAGAGAGTGGAAGGGCGAATTTAGAAAGCCACATGCCCAGGATCCAGCAGCCAGCTGTAGACAGACTCTCCTGTTCATAGTGACTGTATAAAGCAAGGGGGGGCATATAGCAATGTATCTATCATAAGCCATGGTGGTGAAGAAGACCCGTTCTGAACCAGATGATGTAATGAGAAAAAAGATTTGTGCCATACACCCAGCACAGGAAATGGTCTTTGTCTCGTGGAGGAAATTCACCAACATTTTAGGGATAGTAGTGGATGTATAGAAGAGGTCTATGAGGGACATGTTACAGAGAAGAAAGTACATAGGGGTGTGAAGACCAGAGTCACCTGTGATTATCATAATGATCATAATGTTCCCCACAAGGATAATGGTGTAAATAAGCAAAAATACCAGAAAGAATAATGTCAGCAGTGCAGGATGTTTTGAGAATTCCAGAAATATGTATTCTGTCACCCGTCTGGTTTTCCATTTACCCCTATGGGAAAAAAGAATAAGAATTAATCAATAAGCCAAACACCTCTAACTCAAAAAATACATCTGAATCTGCATCTGAATATGCTAGACACAGATTGTTTTAAAGTGCGTAACTTCAGTTTGGCACCAGCTTCCAGTTCCTTCATTCTCTGAGTTTCTGCCTTCCTCCCCTCAGTTGTTTTACTTCTATACAAACTATTTAAAGAGTTGATCATGTGTTCTGATTTTATCACTGGCTCTTTGTTTGATGACACCCCTTGGATAGGTTGCTTCAAGGGGTAAGCTACCTACTGTGCCAGCAATCTGTCCTGAGATATTCACCATGCTTCAGATACTAGTTTCATCTGATTTCCAGCTATTTGCTTCTCATTTCTAGCTTTCTACTCTGGGCTGATTAAACGGCGTGTCTGACTGAGATTGCTTGGGAACCTTGGAGCACTCAGACTCTGTTCACTGAGACAACAGATGACAAAAACAGGAGTCATTCTGCTTTCTTAATTAAACCTAAACAGCAGTGATAAGTGCAGTATAAATTAGCAGGAGGATGGGAGTAGATGGAATGGTCTAACCTGCTGTTTTCTGTAAAATATTGTATCCTCACTGATTCCCAAGGTTTGGTCAGGGGGGTTGTTTCCGCAGCAGTATTTAAAGAGAGGTGGAAACATTTTCACCTAGGGGATTTATTCACAGAAACATCTCAAAATTAACAAGAATCAATTTGTGCTGTGGGGTTCTGCGATCATGCATTATCAAGTGGATAGTTATGGGTTAGGGTGCCTGCCTCTTAGGTCTCTTGTAATCCCCAACTTTAAATGTTGCAATTATTCAAATGTTGCCATTTGATTCAAATTAACACTTGCTAGATGGTCTGTGCTGTTTCATGCTAGTTTTCCAACATTAGGTTAAATCCTGAAGTCCTCATTCAAACAAAACTCCCAAATGAAGTCAACACTAATAAGGGTGACAGGATCTATGCCAGCTCTTCTGAGGTGTGCTCAGCTCTCATTTAAAGGGTTTAGCAGCTGAGTTCAGGTAAGCATTGTCTACTTAACCACACTCTTTAATCAGCAGATTAAACTGGAAATATGGGACCAGATTTATCTTATTAGGGTCCTGATCCTAAGGAAGGCAGGTCCAGTTGTTAGGGAGTAGCCTAGTCCTTGAGAGACCTGGGTTCAAGCCCGTACTCTGCCACAGACTTCTTGTGTGACATTGGGCAAGTCATTTAGGCCCAGATCCTCAAAACTATTTAGGCACCATTGATTTCAAGGGGAAATAGGTGCCTACCTACCGCTGAGCATCTGGGCTTTAATCTCCCTGGGCCTCAATTCCCCATCTATGCAATGGGGAAAATAGCATGGCCCTGCCTCACAATGGTATGTGAGGATAAATACATTAAAAATTGAGAGGCGCTTAGATATGAAGGGAATGGGGACCAGAGAAATACCTAAGAGAGACTGATCCTGATCCAGTTCAAGACAATGAGAGCTTTACTATTGTCTTTGATGGGAGCAGGTTTGGGCCCCACCAGCACTTGCTGGTTTTGGTTGGATCACAAATAGCCTTTCTCCTAGTAGTTCCAGCCCTTGAAAAACCCAGGAAGGGATGGCTCCAGACATATATATGATCCAAACATTTCTGAAACTCATAAGAGCTTTGGGCTTAAACTTTGGATGAAGATTCAGATGTGTTTTTCATTTTATCCGAACTGATTCACTCACTCTAGGATATAAACATCCTAGAAGCACCATCTCTGGTATGGGCTCCAGAAACACCCAGGATGATATCCTGTTCCCACTGAAGTCAATGGGAGCTTTACCACTGCCTTAAATGGGGAGACGATCTCCCTCCTAGTCTTCCCCCATCTCAAAGTGATTGGCATCTACTCTAGTCAGTGACAGATTCATTCAGTGAAATTTTCATTCATTGGGGTGCTTGACTGGTGAGAAGTGGGGGAAAGTCCATTAAGGAATAACTTGGACTGTTTCATTATCTGGAATAGGTTCATATTACTCACTCGGCATATGCTTTTTGAGCCTTATGCTGCTTTTGATGCACACCCAGGATGAGCTGCATCTAGAGGTATAGTACCCTTATCAATATAACACACATCTACCAATGTGATATATGCCATCGTGTGCCAGCAGTGCCCCTCTGCCATGTACACTGGCCAAACCGGACAGTCTCTCCATAAAAGAATCACTGGACACAAATCAGACATCAAGAATTATAACATTCAAAAACCAGTCGGAGAACACTTCAACCTCCTTGGTCACTCAATTACAGACCTAAAAGTGGCAATATTACAACAACAAAACTTCAAAAACAGACTCCAACGAGAGACTGCTGAATTGGAATTAATTTGCAAACTGGACACCATTAAATTAGGCTTGAATAAAGACTGGGAGTGGATGGGTCATTACACAAAGTAAAACTATTTCCCCATGCTTATATTTTCCCCCTACTGTTACTCACACCTTCTTGTCAACTGTTGGAAATGGGCCATCCTGATTATCACTACAAAAGGCTTTTTTCTCCTGCTGATAATAGCTCACCTTAATTGATCACTCTCATTATGGTGTGTATGGCAACACCCATTTTTTCATGTTCTCTGTGTGTGTATATATCTATCTTCCTACTGTATTTTCCACTGCATGCATCCGATGAAGTGGGTTTTAGCCCACGAAAGCTTATGCCCAAATAAATGTGTTAGGGTATGTCTACACTACGGAATAAGGTCCAATTTATAGAAGTTGGTTATTTAGAAATCGGTTTGATATATTCGAGTGTGTGTGTCCCCACAGAAAATGCTCTAAGTGCATTAACTCGGCGGAGTGCTTCCACAGTACCGAGGCTAGAGTCGACTTCCGGAGCATTGCACTGTGGATAGCTATCCCACAGTTCCCGCAGTCTCCGCTGCCCATTGGAATTCTGGGTTGAGATCCCAATGCCTGATGGGGCTAAAACATTGTCGCGGGTGGTTCTGGGTACATATCGTCAGGCCCCCGTTCCCTCCCCCCCTCTGTGAAAGCAAGGGCAGACAATCGTTTCGCGCCTTTTTTCCTGAGTTACCTGTGCAGACGCCATACCATGGCAAGCATGGAGCCCGCTCAGGTAACCGTCACCGTATGTCTCCTGGGTGCTGGCAGACGCGGTACAGCATTGCTACACAGTAGCAGCAACCCACTGCCTTCTGGCAGCAGATGGTGCAATATGACTGGTAGCCGTCATCGTCGTGTCCGAGGTGCTCCTGGCCACGTCGGCTGGGAGCGCCTGGGCAGACATGGGTGCAGGGACTAAATTTGGAGTGACTTGACCAGGTCATTCTCTTTAGTCCTGCAGTCAGTCCTATTGAACTGTCTTATGGTGAGCAGGCAGGCGATACGGATTGCTAGCAGTCATACTGTACCATCTTCTGCCGGGCAGGCAAGAGATGAGGATGGCTAGCAGTCGTACTGTACCATCTTCTGCCGAGCAGCCATGAGATGTGGATGGCATGCAGTCCTTCTGCACCGTCTGCTGCCAGCCAAAGATGTAAAAGATAGATGGAGTGGATCAAAACAAGAAATAGACAGGAGGGCGCGGTACGCATCAGAGAAGCTTTGAAAACCAGTTTCATGACTGGCCAGGCTACGGTGTGAAAGTTCTGTTTGTTTCTCCTTGATGAAACCCCCCGCCCCTTGGTTCACTCTACCTTCCTGTAAGCTAACCACCCTCCCCTCCTCCCTTCGATCACCGCTTGCAGAGGCAATAAAGTCATTGTTGCTTCACATTCATGCATTCTTTATTCATTCATCACACAAATAGGGGGATGACTACCAAGGTAGCGCAGGAGGGGTGGTGGAGGAGGGAAGGAAAATGCCACACAGCATATAAAAGTTTACAACTTTAAAATTTATTGAATGCCAGCCTTCTTTTTTTTGGGCAATCCTCTGTGGCGGAGTGGCTGGTTGGCCAGTGGCCCCCCCACCGCGTTCTTGGGCGTCTGGGTGTGGAGGCTATAGAACTTGAGGAGGAGGGCAGTTGGTTACACAGGGGCTGTAGCGGCAGTCTGTGCTCCAGCTGCCTTTGCTGCAGCTCAACCATACACTGGAGCATACTGGTTTGGTCCTGCAGCAGCCTCAGCATTGAATCCTGCCTCCTCTCATCACGCTGCCGCCACATTTGAGCTTCAGCCCTGTGTTCAACCCGCCACTTACTCTCTTCAGCCCGCCACCTCTCCTCCCGGTCATTTTGTGCTTTCATGCACTCTGACATTATTTGCCTCCACGCAGTTGTCTGTGCTCTGTCAGTGCGGGAGGACAGCATGAGCTCGGAGAACATTTCATCTCAGTGCGTTTTTTTTTCTTTCTAATCTTCACTAGCCTCTGGGAAGGAGAAGATCCTGTGATCATTGAAACACATGCAGCTGGTGGAGAAAAAAAAAGGGACAGCGGTATTTAAAAAGACACATTTTATAAAACAGTGGCTACACTCTTTCAGGGTAAACCTTGCTGTTAACATTACATACATAGCACATGTGCTTTCGTTACAAGGTCGCATTTTGCCTCCCCCCACCATGTGGCTACCCCCTCAACCCTCCCCCCTCCCCGTGGCTAACTGCGGGGAACATTTCTGTTTAGCCACAAGTAAACAGCCCAGCAGGAACGGACTCCTCTGAGTGTCCCCTGAAGAAAAGCACTCTATTTCAACCAGGTGACCATGAATTATATCTCACTCTCCTGAGGATAACACAGAGAGATAAAGAACGGATGTTGTTTGAACGCCAGCAAACATACACTGCAATGCTTTGTTGTACAATGATTCCCGAGTACGTGTTACTGGCCTGGAGTGGTAACGTGTCCTACCATGAAGGACGCAATAAGGCTGCCCTCCCCAGAAACCTTTTGCAAAGGCTTTGGGAGTACATCCAGGAGAGCCGCGAATGCCAGGGCAAAGTAATCCTTTCACATGCTTGCTTTTAAACCATGTATAGTATTTTAAAAAGGTACACTCACCGGAGGTCCCTTCTCCGCCTGCCGGGTCCAGGAAGCAGCCTTGGGTGGGTTCAGAGGGTACTGGCTCCAGGTCCAGGGTGAGAAACAGTTCCTGGCTGTCGGAAAAACCGGTTTCTCCGCTTGCTTGCTGTGAGCTACCTACAACCTCATCATCATCTTCATCCCCAAAACCTGCTTCCGTGTTGCCTCCATCTCCATTGAAGGAGTCAAACAACACAGCTGGGGTAGTGGTGGCTGAACCCCCTAAAATGGCATGCAGCTCATCATAGAAGCGGCATGTTTGGGGCTCGGACCCGGAGCGGCCGTTCGCCTCTCTGGTTTTCTGGTAGGCTTGCCTCAGCTCCTTAAGTTTCACGCGGCACTGCTTCGGGTCCCTGTTATGGCCTCTGTCCTTCATGCCCTGGGAGATTTTGACAAAGGTTTTGGCATTTCGAAAACTGGAACAGAGTTCTGATAGCACGGATTCCTCTCCCCATACAGCGATCAGATCCCGTACCTCCCGTTCGGTCCATGCTGGAGCTCTTTTGCGATTCTGGGACTCCATCATGGTCACCTGTGCTGATGAGCTCTGCATGGTCACCTACAGCTTGCCACGCTGGCCAAACAGGAAATGAGATTCAAAAGTTCGCGGTTCTTTTCCTGTCTACCTGGCCAGTGCATCTGAGTTGAGAGTGCTGTCCAGAGCGGTCACAATGGAGCGCTCTGGGATAGCTCCCAGAGGCCAATACCGTCGAATTGTGTCCACAGTACCCCATATTCGAGCCGGCAAGGCCAATTTAAGCGCTAATCCACTTGTCAGGGGTGGAGTAAGGAAATCGATTTTAAGAGCCCTTTAAGTCGAAATAAAGGGCTTCATCGTGTGGACGGGTGCAGGTTTACATCGATTTAACGCTGCTAAATTCGACCTAAAGTCCTAGTGTAGGTTTCTAAGGTGCCACAACTACTCCTCATTCTTTTTACTGATACACACTAACACGGCTGCTACTCTGATACTTGGCATTGAAACAGTGATTTATATTTTCTCAGCACTGTACTAACCCTAATGAGTTAATTAGGGAAGTGCATGGTCCTTTGAATGGAGGGGCAGAAATATCTGGGGCTGGGTGTGTAGTTCGGATTCTGGTCCATATATTCGGGGAAGAGTCTGAAGGCATAGGCCAACTCGTGGGCTTGGGCTGGGAGCTCATTAGCTCTCCAACTAAACAAGGCTGAGCCTCGGAAAGGAGCTCTCCAAGGGAGCCGCAGGAAGTGGTGCTGGCAATTCAATCCAAGGTGCTCTCAGCAGAACTGAAAGAATGCGTGGTGCTCGTAGGAATTGTGCTGCTGAAGGTACTATTGTCTGGCTAAGGCCTTTAACCAAGGTTCCCCTCCCTATAGTCTCATCGGACACAGTCGGGTTCTTCACGTCCACTGTGGTATTTTGTGGCTGTGTGCTGTTCCCTACACACAGATAGTTGAAAATGCTGTGAAATGCTATGAAGGCCTGTACGTAACAATGACTGACATAGATTACGACTGGCTTTCGTTATTTCAGTTCTAACCGCCTATAGCCTGATCCATGCCTTCCACTGGAGGAAAGCCCTGACAGTCAGGCCTTATGGATACTTGGATGTGAAATTGATTTTTCTGAGTACATTTTGCTCCCAGATCCACATGACAGAACTCAAATCCAAACCTCTGCTGTCCCTCCAGGCATGCGTCTGCCACAGATGTCAGAGGAGCTCTGTGACTGTGGAGAGAGGAGATATTCTTGTGCCAGTCTGACAGCACAAATTGCAAAAATTTCAGGATGAAGGATATGATGAATCCACTTTTTATTCACTTGATATAAAACACTATCTTGAAATAGAGACAGTCACATTTTTATTGCAGAAAAATCAAGCCCATTACTGAGCAGAAGTAGAGTGACCATGTGTCCCTATGCTGAAAACAGGACACCTGGTAAAATTACTTGTATTCAAGCGAGTTCCACAGTAATCAATGAGAACTATGCAGTACAAATATTCAAATTAACATCAAGTTGACTGAGCTGCTGTTAAAAAGAAATACTATGTAGGGGGATTCTTTTTTTTTACCTTC